ATTGGGACATGCATTCTGCTCAGTAGAGTAGGGGTAATTTCGTGATTCGTCTAACTCAATAACAAAAAACAAAATCAGAGTTCAGTATTTAATATGTTGTCGTTAGTATTGTTGGTAATGGTACTAATAATGAATAGATATTGAAACTGAAATTTAAAAAAATGGGTAAAAAAGATGGTGGTGCATTCTGGAAACGGCCGAAGATCAATAAACAAAAGCAGTTAGACGAAGTTGTTAAGAAATGCCCTAAAATACATTAATTTTTTCTAAATTCAAATGAGACAGATTCAGAACTGACAGAACCGTCTCCGGGAACTTCACGATCTCAAGACGGGAATCGTAAGTTAGGTGATTGAAGATACACTTCATAAAATAAGCCTGAACAGAGAGGAGAAGATGCAAGTTCGCTGTCAAGCTGATGCACTGGCAAAAAAGTATCTACACTAGAACCATCTGACTCGATCCATCTTACAGTGGAGTGAAGATAATAGGGCAGGAAGAAAATCTTACAGTCAACTCCACCAAAACTATACTTTATTCAAATTGGAAATTGAGACATGTTTTGAAGCTTCAAAGCTTCATCATTCATCATCAGCAAAATTGTTACAGGAAGTATGTACTTTGCCTGACGTGTTTTTTTTGTCTTTTCCATTGTAGTATACTTCCTGTAACAATTTTTCTGATGATGAAGCTTTGAAGCTTCGAAACATGTCCCAATTTCCAATTAAAATGGAGTATAGTTTTGGTGGAGTTGACTGTAAGATTTTCTTCCTGCCCTATTATCTACACTAGAGTGTGCTATTCTGGTTGTTTTCTGGTATGATATATTAGAGAGAGCAGATCAAGTCAGCAAGTCCCTGCAAAACTCAAGCATAGGCCTGGACACGTGTCTCAGTTTATATATTTCATTGAGAAAATGAGAAAGTATTATGAATGTTTGCAATAAAAGTTCAATTTTTACGAAAAAGAGGCACAATTACTCTCGAAAGAACTCAACTATAATTTTGATGATGATTATGTTTAACGTGTGAAGTAAATATAATTTGATTCGTTGTACATAATGATTTCATGAATGGTTTTAAAAAAAGCAGTGAAAAGATTATTTGAAATTTGAAACCGACAATTGAAATTTAATATTTGGCGGCGGCGCAGCGGCATCGTAAAAGTTAGCCCCCGGCGTAGGGGAGTATAAATCCGGCACTGACTAATACTTCATTATGTCGTCTTTTTTCTACCCAGTGCGGAACTTATTATGTAGAATGTACCTATGTTTACAATCCTCGTTGAGGTGTAATTTAATGCAAGTACCTAATGCCTATACTTTGAATATAGACTGAATTGTTGCCAGCAATATTATTCTGACGAAAATTAAAGAGACCGTTAGGCATTAGTAAATATTGGCCCATCGGCAAATGTAAATAGATTGTACAGGGTGTGTTGTCACTCGCCACCCTTGCTCGATTAATGTGTTAGTGTTTTTAATCAAATGTAACTCAATACTCAAGTGTTTATGTTTAACGCGGGCAGAACAACCTTTCAAAATGATTAAATGTAAACACCTTGTGACGTCTAATGTTTTCCGGAATTAAATTTGAATTATTTATTTGAATACCTACCTGTAAGTATCTGATGAAGGAAGCTTCTGAAAGGTTTGTGTACAATTTCGGGAATAGAATGCGAGCTGAATTATTTTCTAATAGATTTACTTTTGATCTACTTCAGGATTAATACATAAAGTAGAGTATACCCACCCCTTCTTATTATCTTTCAAACTGATGCTTCTTGGGTGGTAGCTAAATTCTTAATTTTAAGAGGATGGAATTAGACAATTCTCAGTTGGAATTGATGAGAAAAGTTGTCAATTATCTCGACTCTGGCCTATAGATTGCAAAAGATCGTATTGTTCATTTATTGCATGGAACGATCTTTCAAGTATACCTATTTTTCTCTGTAACTATAATTCGAACTGTAATTTGATTACCTACATTCAATATTGAAGATAATTGAATGTACTTATTTTTTGAAAATTTTCATGCCTATACAGGGTATATCACGACGAGCTTAAACTACCTCTATATCCAGAATCAGTCGGGAAAAATCCATGAAAAGAAGCATGCATATATTTCAGAATACACTCTCTTCATTTGAAATATTTTCGACAATGCAGTGTTGCCGCTTCTTCTAGAAAGTAGTAGCAACATTAATATTTCAAATGGAATACCCTATATTTTATCGCATTTTTAGATTCTCCTTGAAGAGCTGGTTTTATCGATACATCATACTTGGGGTCTATCGAGAAAGATTACAGAGATATAGCGTGTTCAAAATCGATATTTTTCAACTTAACGATTTCTTGTGTCGAAACTATTCATTATCGGTCAAAACGGCTCACATGTCCCTATCTCAACTGTTGATACACCATTTACTGATATTTAATCGGAACAGATACAGGGTGGTTCAAGATTCAGAATTCTCATCACCCTGTATCTGGTCCGATTAAATATCAGTTAATAGTAAATCGAAAGTTGAGATAGGTATACATGTCAGCCGCTTTGTCCGATGATGAAGAGTTTCGACACAAAAAAATCCCAAAGTTGAAAAAATCTCGATTTCCGATAGACCACAAGTTTGATGTATCGATGAAATCAGCTCTTCAGGGAAAATCTAACCAATACAGGGTATTCCATTTGAAGTAACAAAGTTGTTGCTTCTTTTTGAGACTCTTTTGATCTTTTTATTTTCCATTTATTTGCTTGTGTCTTGTGTTCTTACATGGTTATATGGGTCTCTCAAAGAGTCTATAAAATAAATAAATCTCGTCTGCAGAGATACGAGTAATGTTTACGGTTATTGAACAAAGTAATAAAAGTTAACAAGATAAAAATGACTAGGTGTAACTATAAAAGAAGGAAGCGATGTTAAAAGTTGGCGGATTTCCATATTATGAAATCTTGTGTCATTATTTTTAAGGGAAACGAGCCAAGACTAACACTTGAGCTGTTTCGAAATGACCCTGTTATCTTGTAAGCGTACGTGTCTTGCTTAGTGATATAAAAAAGCAATCATGTACAAAATCAGCGTCGTATCGACTGTTTGTATGTTTCCACTGGGACACATTTGTCCTGTACCGCTTGTTGCGAAGTCCCAGCAGGATGAGAACTCATTCAACTTGGAATGTTTATTTATTTTATTAGCCTGGCAACTAATCGTGAATTATTACTTCTTCGATCCTGCATTGGACACTTCGATTTGTGTCGAGAATATTTAAGGAAAACTTCTTCCATTAGGTATACATCTCCTTTCCAAACTTCTAAACGACTCATCCTTAACTTTGGAACTGAGCGATTTCAGGGTTGACTTAGCACATGAAAATGGGTCTACTGTCTATATGAAATTGACATGTGACAGTAGGCTCACATACAAAACAAATATATTGTTTGTTGAAGCTTGAAGCACATATGTCACCATCAACTTCCTACTTCTCCAGAAACAAAAATTCGATTATATATAGTACTCGACTAGCTGATTTCGAGAATGTGGAAAAATCTGAAAAATTAAAATTTTCTACTATCATAGGCCAACTATTGTTTGATAAATTGGCCAAAATTTCACTATATACAGGCTGTCCGTGGAAGGTCTGTACAAAATGATACAAAAGACTCTTGAGACTATATAAAGTGAAATAATTGGAACATATGGAACATATATTATGGAAAATATTGACAAATATAAGGTTACATTATTGCTTTCTATTGATTACAGTAAAGCATTTGATACAATGAACCACAACCTATTATGTACTAAACTGAAATATTTTGGTTTTAACCATGCTTCTTGCTCCTTTTAAATGAACGAACACAATGCGTAGTAATTCAAGATAAAAAATCGCATGAACTAATCGTGAGACATGGAGCTCCTCAAGGATCTGTTCTCGCTCCTCTGCTTCTTACAATATATACATCGGATTTTTCTAAGGTCCTAGAGAATTTCAACATACAAACATATGCTGATGACACAAATTTATATTACTCTGATAAAATATAAGACCTAATATATAAAGAAAATCTGCTTAATAATGATCTCATCAAGCTGGTGGATATATCTAAAAATCATTCATTAAATATAAATCCTGTCTGTAGGAGAGAAAATCCCAAAAAATCAAATAAAATAAATATAAATCCCTCTAAATCTGCCTCTAATGTTTTTGGCAATATTAAAGACCGGCAAAGGGCCAAAATGATTATGGAACTGTTTGAATGTATACCAATTTTCATTTACAATAGAATCATCCAAATTCTGATAAGAATTGAGTCACTATTTTTTTCCACAAAAATCATCACATCACATATTATAAATATTAACTAGACCCGTATATTGCAGTAATGTCCTTTATCTTCTCGTAGATCTACGTTCTATCAGTATATTAAAACAGGCACAACAACTTAAATGGTGTTAGCTGAAACATTTGCGAAAATGTCAAGCGTTGACCTTTTTAGCGCCCCACGAAAATTAAAGTAGGCGTCATTCATGCCTGAAATTAAATGAAACTTATCACCGATCCGCCTACTGAAATCCAATAGTTGATAACAATCGTGAGTTCGTCAATTCAAAGGTTAGGGACCATATGAGGTGCCATCAGAAAGATTCGTAGGAAGAGGTTCACATCCAATGTACCTACTGACAAATGACAGATCTTTCAAGAACTCCGAATAGATCTTGAACCCACTACAAAGAGGTTTCTCTCGAGCACCAGCTTTTTCAATAGGGTAACAAACTCAAAAATAGTCAGGTGTATGATGTCAAAGCAAAAAAGTGTCTGTTAGACGCGTCAGATGTATATGTTTATGTCTTTTGAAATGATTATTTTTGGTTTTGTTATCATCCTGTATCACGCACCCCAGATTGCTCTCCAACCTCTCAGTGATTCCTGCATGCACTGGCATATTTCCGAACACTCAATATATGCCACAGTGACAGATAACGTCACAGAAGATTCTGGAATGTTCTGGAAACAATCGATGGAACAATTAGAGAGAGAGGTTTGTTCTAAGAAGCTTCTAGAACAAGAAGAAGGAGACGGAAGATCTTTCGAGAAGGTTCTCGAACCAAAGCCTGCCAAGTGAGCTCATATATAAACGGCCGAATAACTGCCGTCAGGGAGTCGAGCAGCGAGTGTCAGAGAGACAGTTATATACCGCGTGATATAAATCGTTTTACATAAATAGTAGATATAAGTTCGATATAAATTAGTGTTTCTTTAGTTTAAATAAATCCGTTCGAAAATAAATAGTGTCGTGTTCGCTTCTGCACCCGAATAACGTAACAGTATTATTTATTAGATCTTAGTAAAACACAGCAATCAAATTAAAGACCTTCTCTTCATCATTAATAACTGGTGTATATGTTTAACCTTATCAGATACAGAACAATGAGTGGAATGTTTCTCTGTAGGGTACCTAGATGACCCGAAAACGGGGTACAATATAGAATGTATTTGCATGGACCTTAAAGTAAAACAACAACACACTATCTTCTATGAAATTTTTGATTCGAATTCTTTCTCTTTTTATCTTAACATCCACTTCAGACTCATCCTCAGAATTATCACTACTTGATAGTGTTTCATTTTGCTGCAGCATCCGAGATCATTTCCTGTGGGTTCTTTAGTATAAAATGTGCGAGATGAGACATAAAACCTACCAAAATCATATAATCCATGTTTTTCAATCATGCAAATACTACAATAAAAAATTTAAATTCAAATTACGAGTCAATCTGACGGGAAATCCGTCGATAAAATATCACTGAAAATACTAGGATACAAATTATGTTCGAATTGTAGGTTAGTACCGGTTCATTTCGGGGGTAACAAATTTTCAATTGGAAAGCGGCTCGGGACATCAGATCGAATGTAAAATTTGATCGAGACTATAGACAGTAATTTGATGTGACGCAGTGAAAAATCGGGTAATTTTTGCTAAACTGTTTTACTAAATTGACGAGGGTTGTGCTGAACAAGCGCTTGTAAGTATCAAATCTTTCATGAACTTGGAGTGTTACTCTGGATTAAAATTTACATAATGGGAGTCTCCCTTTTTTTCAGCAAGGAGTATTTAAGACTAAATAACATCAAATTAGGGACTAGCGAAACTGAATACGAATTTTCAATTAGTGCATCCACCTTCCCTACTGTCTATATACATTTTTGCGAACATGGTTATGAAACTGCAATTATTTACAGACATTTTTAAAAAATTATGCTTGATTGCGGTATACACTCGCAGCAGTCCGATTCTGATGAAATTTCGACCAAATTGTAGATTTATGTTCCAGAGCAGTATAGGTACAGGGAAGAACAAAAATTACTCTGTCACCCATAACTTTCTTAACTCTCTGTGGCAGAGGTGGGTCGTTAAACTTAGTTTTTTCATGTTTTGGATTGTAGTATCGTCCCTGCTCAACACGATGGTTTTCGAATCACGTCAATATCTTTTGTTTTTCAAATATACAAGTGTTTTAAGAAATTATGGATTTTTTAAATTGTTATTATAACATTAATTCATGACCATTCTCTAACCCCTGATGATTCTGCTACATCATGTTTTGGATTGAAGTGAAATATCTTTTCGTCTCTTCTTTAATTTTTTGTGGCCGGTTTTTTTGCCGTTGAGTGAACATGAGAAAAAGATTACGCCACTTACCCGAACAAAAAGATATGATGATTTTCTTCTTCTTCCTCTTCTTCTTTGTCTTTTGAAATGGTCCCACCTTGAAAGAATCTATTTCTTGATATCAGCCCACATCAAATATGATAGTTTTCATTCATCATCATTTCATTCTGATAATTAATTAATATGAAAGAGTAAGTTTTACAGCCTTGCTGAAAAAAGCTAGTCCATTTATGTATATGATCAAAGAAGATTTCGATTCGAACGCAACCAGCAAGGGAAAATGTTAATAATTTCAGTTTTTCCCTGGAGGTATATACACATCATCCTCAATGGGTTTAAATTAAAAGCTGCATCATGAAACGGAATTAAACAGTAAACCTCTTTGTATTCAATCAGTACCTACCTATAAATTGTGAATTGAGTGGCAGCAGACATACAAGGAGATAATTTTGAATGAGCAGTATTCAGAAATAACATTTTTGTTATCCAAATCAAGGATCAAGATGACTCGATAAAATTTCATCAAAAGTATTTTTTTTTTTGTTTTTTTTGCATTTGCATACCTCGTTGGTCCCAGCACTGGGACCAAACGCCCCATAAGTCGAAAATTGTGCGGGGTTAGGTATACATACAGGTATACATACAAACATAAAAATGGTATATATAGGTAACTAAGATATGGTTTGTTTTGGAAATCATCATTGGCGGGCGATGCAGTTTTTGGAAGTCAAAAAATTGTAGGGAAAAAATTTATTTCAGAAAAGGTTCAGGTACCATCTTGTCATTACGGCTCAAATATTCTGAGAAATATGATGTAACCTATATATAACTCCCGATAGTTCAGTGAGAGGTTTATTAGTCGTTCGTGAAATATTTCACTGTGCTTCTTGGTTTCTCCTAAAATTCTCCATGGATAGATGTATAGAAAGTCAAATATAAGCATCTCACTCCATGGCATCTAATACAATATTCGCAATCCCCAATGACTGAAATACCGCGGGGGGACTGAATTCACGGCGTTTCCATGCTCACTAAGCCTATGAACAACCCTAAGTAAGGTTATTATTCCATTTGTATATGACATTTTTTGCCAACTTCGCATTTCAATCTATTTTTCACGCTAATTGAGGCTGAAATCGTGTCATTTTGCCGAATAAAAAGTATTTCTTCCATATTTGATACGAATCAAGTTGACATTACAATTTGAATGTTGCAATGTAAATCAACATGCAGTGCCGGTTTTACCAGGGGTATTTTGGGTGCTATAGCACCAGGCGGCAAAATCTTCAGGGCGGCTATATGAAAATACAACTGCACATCTTTTGTCATCAGTCATTATCTAGAAATTTTGATTTTTCACTCGAAAGATTTGATCACTAGAGTACCTAAACTGAAATTTATGTTAAGAACTGATGAATCATCCCAAGGAAAGCACAATTTAAAGAAAAAATACGGCAAAAAGTCCAAACCAGAGAGAAAAATGGCGGACACAGTGTTTTATTTCAAGTTGCAGATTTGAAATTTTTCGTCGGACTTCCACCTAAATGTCGTTCAGAATCATTTGACTTTCTGTTCAAGATAGTGTCAGCAGAGGATGGAAATTTGATCAAATTGGCAACTAAACAACAAAAAAAGTATGTAGAGGATCTAGAAAAATTTGTTATTGACGAATGTTATTTATCTGAAAAAAAAAAACAGATTTATCTCCTAGAGACTAAAGCAGAAACTCCTATTTTGGAATAAGTCCAAGTTCTACACGAAAATAATGTGATATCTTCTTTTCCCAATGTGATTATTCGTTTTCGAAATTTTTGTCTTAACTAAAACAAGATCTACTAAATGAAACTAGTGTATAGAGCTTGTGAAGAGTATCATACATAATACTTACATACATACGTACTTGCCTATTATCATTTGATTTTCCTTTTTTACAATGTACCAGTATATCACCTGAAAAATTTTGTGGAAATCTCATCGTTTGTGAAGTTTTTACATTTGTGTTCATTATATGCGTTGACCTGTGCAACTCCTAGAACAAAGCTACGATGAAGTATCGGGAAAGTTTTGGTCTTCGGAATAATCTGGGACTAAAAAAGCAAGAATTTCTCATATTCAACTTCTATAACATTTAGAATTTGCCATATTGTATACCTGTATGTTACATACATACATACATACATACATACATACATACATACGAGATTATTAATTACCATCATTTATTTGGTTTATTCTTTGCTTGTTTGTTTTAGCAACTTTCGAAGATATTCATATCATTAAGATATCTCCAGATATGCCGTATTTTTATAATCGCTAAAAATATTCTATCCAGGAATATAATGTGTAACTAGACAGGTATGTATGTTCCTACTTATCGTTAGCATAGGAAAGTTCTAAATGAAGTGATTCGAATGCAAACAATACAACGACCGTTCAATCAATACTGAATTAAAGAAGTTACATTTTAAGAACCGTGATCTCCTTCCGAAAGAGACTATGGGCACTCAATTAAAAGTTGAATTTAAATAATAGGACACCGCTGCTCCAGGGGATAATTGAGCATTCCCTTCAATAAAAAACGTTCTTTGAAACACTTCGCATCATATGGAATAGATACAGGACCGGAGCAAAAGAATATCCATAGACATATTTGACAGCACATTATGGAATCAATTATTGCATGTCTTTCAATGCTTCAATGGTCAATGCATTGATGTCACCAGTTCTAATGGCAATTCTGTGAGTGAAAAAAATATGAACAGAACAATCTCGAGCCAAATCGATCCATTTGGGAAGATATATTATATCGCAGATCAGATGAAGTGCAAATCGATATTTTTTCAATGCTTCAATAAAAACAACGGAATAATACAAATTGATGTGTTGAACGAGGAACCAATAGTTATGCCTTTTTGGAAGCGGTCCAAAAGACTGAAAAGGAGCTAACAGAACAAACCCGATACGAGCATATAATAAGTCTACCAATTCGGGATATAGGATGAAGATCTAATGATATACATATATATACGGGGTGAGTGAGAATGAGACAGGAAGATTTCGTTCTCAGATTTCTCTCTTCAATATGAGGTAACAACTTCCCACCAACGTATATTCTAAAATTCATCTTGTCAAAGATACCTACAGAGTGATTTCCTCAAGTTTTTCAATAGCCAAAAATGTTCAAATGGTTGAAACTTATTCTGATATGTTATGAGAAACTAGCATTGTGAGATTGTGATATACCTTGAAGATTTTATGTATCTACTCGATACTTTTGTTTATTTGGACATTCTTAGTTTTTGGCCAATATCTCGTGAACCTTAACCTTCATGTACCTGCATCACCCTTATCACCTGACTAAAAAAATGTTGAGGCGAATGAAAAACTTCATATCATCTAAACAACTAACCTAAAACAGTATTAGGTACCTACCTATATAAGTACCAAGTTTCGATTTTTTCCTACTGCATAGTGTGTTCAAGAAAACAGGACAGGATGCATTTTAGGACATATAGGTACGTTGGTAGGAACTTTTCAAAATAGGGTGAAAAATCTGAAATTGAAGTTTTTGGTCTTTTTCTGATTTATCCTGTATCGTAAGTTATTTATTACCATTCCATATAGTAAATCTCTTGGGAACCACCTATACGGGTATCATTGCAACCATAATATGTAGATTATTGCAACGGTTCATAATTCATTTCGAATGAAATTGAGTACCTATACAGGGTAACTCACGGTCGATGGTACGTTAGACGTTTATGGAGAACGGGACATAGGATCATTCTGAAATTTTGGTTACTCACGTAGTTGCTCTTGGTCTATCGATCTAAAATATTTTCAGCTCTGCGGCGTTGCCGCTTCTATCGAAAAGTAGCAACAACTTTGTTATTTTAAATGGAACACCCTGTATTTTATTGCATTTTCATATTCTCTCTGAAGAGCTGATTTCATCGATGCATCACACTTGGGGTCTAGCGGAAATGATTACAGAGATATGTATAGGGTGTGAAAAATCGTCATTTTTCCACTTTAGGAATTTTTTTTGTCGAAACTATTCATTATTGGTCAAAACGGCTTACATGTCCCTATCTCAACTTTTGTTTAACTATCTACTGATATTTAATTGGGACATATACCGGGTGATGGGTGATCAAGATTCTGAATTCTGCACGACCCTGTATTTGTTTCAATTAAATGTCAGTAGATAGTTGATCAGAAGTTGAGATAGGGACATGTGAGCCGTTTTGACCAATAATGAATAGTTTCGACAAAAAAAATTCCTAAAGTTGAAAAATGTCGATTTTTCACACCCTATATCTCTGTAATCATTTCCGCTAGACTCCAAGTGTGATACATCGATGAAATCAGCTCTTCAGAGAGAATATGAAAATGTAATAAAATACAGGGTGTTCCATTTAAAATGTTGTTGCTACTTTTCGATAGAAGAGGCAACGCTGCAGAGCTGAAAATATTTTAGATCGATAGACCAAGAGCAACTACGTGAGTAACCAAAATTTCAGAATGATCCTATGTCCCGTTCTCCATAAACGTCTAACGTACCATCGACCGTGAGTTACCCTGTATACCGAACTGGAAATGATATATACTTATATTAAAACCTATCATTTTTGGATTTTTTATAAGGGGATACCCAATTTCGAGAAAATGACAGTTTTTAAGCTATGCTTATTGTTTCATACGATAGGTAGGTACAGTCCTGCTCAGACAGATCCTGTGCAACGAATAATAATCAAACATGCCGGTACATAATAGAATTCTTACGAGTAAATTAAAACGATCACAATGAATACGATCCTTCAATGAAATTTAACGTTTGTATAAGTTAACAATGGATTAATTACTGTGTTTCTATAGCTACATGAATATTTAAATATTCGAACTGAATATACACAATGTCGCAGTATTGAATTTACTCACTGCATACACCCGTTTACTGTCTGACATCGCCCCTGGGGAAAAACTCAAAAATCGCTAGATGGATCTCCCTATTCATACTGGAACGTGTGTCTGTCTATTCAAATAATTTAGAACAGGGTGCGCGATTTTCAGCCATTACTGAAACATGGTGAACATTTCTACCACAGCATATGACTGATGAAGTGATGAAACAAGTGAACTCTCAAGTTTGGGGTCAATTTATAAAGACTTCTTCAAATATTCAGAATTTGATTTCAGAGAAGCAGGAAACAAAGTCTTGAATAAACAGGGTGTTTCGTAATATGTGAAATTAAACAAGTTCCCATAAACAAAACTCGTAGAAGGCTCCGTTTGCGAGATACAGGGTGTTAAAGTTGAAGATAAAACATAATTTCCATTGAATTTCTGAATAACCGCTAGACAAAGAATTCTTGATATTCCCTTGTGCTCATAACTCAGTACCTGGAGAGTGATTGAATGGGTAGAATTTGTTAGTCAATCTGACTCTGACTCTGACTCCCAGTGGCACCGCCAAGGGGTATTATTGATGTGTGATTTCTCTGAAAAAAACATTGATGGCGATGAAACATTTCGAAATGTTATTCGAAAATATAAAAGAGGATGCAATATTGTAGAAAAAACTGAAAATCGTAGAGATACACTGTTTTCGTAAAAAACCGAATAACCAAATTCAATTCCATTCAAGACATCTGTTCAGATTACTCTATAACCATGATATATAATTGGCCACGTTTATACCGTGTCTTGGTCAGCTGACTAATGACTATATTTTGACTAAATACTCTTGGTCGGTGTGGTATAAACTGTATACTTGGTGAAGTTAGCAGCTTGGTTTGGTACCGAAATTCGTACCAGACTAAAATAGTATGATGGCCGAGACGGTGTAAACATTTTGGTCTACTTTTGTATAGCCTTTTGACTTGAGTAGAGTGCAAGTGGCAGTTATTTCATGAGTTCTTATAATAATATTCCATTCAATTTCAGCTAATTCCGTATCCTACTACATAATAGGTTTTATTCTTAATTTACGAATTCAAGAGGAGTTCCATAACCTAACCTCAAAAAAATAATCAAATCAAAGCAAAGTTGGTAACGTAAGTCAACTGAAGACTCGTGCTGAAGATACATGGTGTAAACATGCGTTGACTAAGACATTTGGTCTGAATTTAGTTACATCACCTTGGTAATAGCATACCAAATATCCATACGGTATGAACGTGGCCATTCTGTAATTGTGGACTGCATTACAGGACATAAAAAATTCTATAGATATCTTCAACTGCAACACCCTGTATCTCGCAAACGAAGCTGTATTTTACGACTCTTGGTTATGAGAACTTTATTTTCTTGAGACGCCCTATATCACCTCTCGAAGTGCGTCCCATATATCACGATATACATGGTATATATCTAACGATTCAATTCATTGTATTCACGCAAATCTATAGGTAATTTAATAATTCATTGAATAATACACTAAAATTAGTGTTAATAATTCGACCCTATTCAATGATTCAAATGAATCCCGCAAAATTAGAAACTTCAACAAATCAAATAGGTATTCAAAATGTTTCATAGAAACAGAGAATGAAGTTTGGAATAACGGCAAAGCTTTGAAATTCTTTGCCGAAGGAACTATTTCCAAGAACTTACCTATAATTCGAACATTTTAAGGATTTCTTTTCGTGCGCCTCAGAAGGTATAAAAAATAACTAACAATTTGGTTTATTTTTTTATGGACAAGAGGTGAAAATTAGTATTAGTAATTCAAGATTGTTCCGTGATTCAAATGACACACAAACATTATCACATGAATCTCGAAAAATCAGAAACTTCAACAACTGTTACCTATTATTGTAATTTCCACAAAATCGACATGAAACTCAGTTATGAAAATCATTCAATTATTCACAATCTGTCACGCTAATCTAAGTCAAATAATGAAATCACTCTTGACAGAGCTCCACTGCGTCAGAGGTTCTCTTTTTCCTGCATTATGGACATCATAAGCTAGAATGAAATGGGCCTATATAATTGGGGGAAAAGGGAAAATACACAATTCAGCTGTGAATGTGTAATAAAACCGCACAAAAACGTAATGAAGGCATTCATTTAATAGAACTCCATTGCATTACTGTGACAATACGTTTTTGATATCATATAATCGTGTTAATTTTTAATAAGAACGCGAGAACAATGCATGCTTCATTACATGAAGGTACTATAAAGCATGTCCCATTCTGAATCCTCTACCACCACCTTAGACAGTTTTCGGGAAAATCATATCCTGGATTTTTCAGATATCTTCCGTTGAACCCCCACTTAGTCCGCGTGCTACACCAGAAAATATTGAACAAAAAGAAGAAATGTCCAACATATCGCAGAAAATATGGAATCTTTCGAGGCTATCTTTCGATGGAAATGAGAGGACAAATTTTTTGTATCGGCAAGATCTTCAACGCCAGTTTCTCATTGGATGTCGTAAGTTATTATTTTAAGGCTTTTTTGTTGGAACACAGAGTTACCACGTGTGAAAGAGGTCAAAATGAATTGTTTGGACCCAATTTATTTATATACCAAAATGTACCGTGAGAAGAGTTCAGAGTTTACATAAAAAACACATTTTTGTTCGCTATGCAGAAATGAGTGGAACAAATTCAATGCAATTCGACAAAAGTGCATTTTGGAGGATTCACTCTTCTTTCGGTAATCAAAGAAACCCAGAAGAAATTGTATAGAGGTATTGAAAATACCCTCACCCCCTGATATTTTTTTCAAAACATTCTTGAAGGTGGTAATACGGTTCTCAAATGTGTTTATCGAGAAGACTGATTAATTATCTTTATTTTGTTACTCCTGTAAAAACTTCTTACTCCCAATATTTTCGAAATAAAAAAATGTTTTATTTATAACGCTAACCAGATATCCCCAGTACATTATTGTAATACAAAATTTAGTTGACAGTGGGAACGAAGGCAGAACGTTTTTTCATAATAAATAATGTTCAATATGACGGCAACCTTCATCAGTACAAAGGTCAATAAACTCAGAACTCTTCTCACGGACAAACGGTACATTTAGGTGCATGAATAAAGTGGGTACAATCAACGTATTTGGACCTCTATCACACCTGGTAACTCTGTGTCCCAGCAATTTTGGGACACCCTGTATATCACGGGTGTCCTATATAGTTCCAATGAAATATCTCATTCATTCGAGACAAGTGACTTCCATTTCTAAGTTATTATAGATATTAGAAATGGCAGCATCTTGTACAGTCTACATTCAGTAAGGCCCAGCTTTTATGTATATTTTGTGATTGTATAGGTACTCCCATATTTCTTACAACATTGCTGGGTGGGGCTGGTGCACAAAACTATATAAAATATTTATTTCCCAGAAAAGGGTTATACGATTGATATTTGAAATAAATTGAAGAGAATCGTGAAGACAATACTTTGTTCAATCATCTTCCGGATGATATAAAAAATCGAAGTAGCCAAAATATTTTCAAGGCAGAACTAAAAGAATGATTGATTATAGGTTGTTTCTACATTACTGATGAGTATCTTAGTCGTTTGTGCATCATCTGTTGTCTGACGTATACTATCATTTTATTTATTTATTTATTATTTATTCTTTTCATTTATCAAATTGTACTCAAGATAATCTTTCCGTTGATTATGCGAGCTGTGTACACTCTATAATGAGTAGGTACCAATATTTACATTTGTCAATTCGGTAATATATTCACTGTATTGAGCCCTAATCCGTATAATCATCAGTGGAATTAATACTATCGGTTGAATACAGAACACAGAAAGGTGTAAGTTAACTTTGGGAGAGAAGGTATTCATTCATAAGAGGATCTATTAATTATACCAAATGTAATCAAATCCCCTAAGTACGTACTTTAGAAGAACGAATCTGATTTTAATTGGTAGGTACCACAATTTTGATGTATAGGTATCTCAAGTGAATGCAAACTGAAATCGAGTTTGAATCATTTCCCTGTCTAATAGTTATACTAGAGTTGACGATCATATTCTTTTCTGATTCTTATTTTTACGGAACAATTCACATAGGGTGTCCCAGATCTTTCAGTCTAGCAGATATATGGGTTATCTTAGTTATCTAACATACAAAAAATTTCAAAAAATTGTGGAATTTATGGAAACAGGAGCTTTCCAAAATGGTGATATCAAATCACCCTTGTGTAACACAATATACTGATGGAAACCGCCACTTCGATTGGTTTTTCAAATTGCTCACCCCCATGTGTTTTTTGGTTCATCTTCTCATTTTCAATTCGACTATATACATCGTGATCGATATAGCGTTTTCGTCTAAATTATAAAGGAATAAATGATTTTGCAGGTTTGTTTTCCTGTTACACCCAGTTATTCCTTGAAATATCACAACTACACACGAAGACTCAATGGACGATTATGATTATACAAGATAAGTACAGCAAGAGCAAGAAAAAAAAACATAATTTTTTCATAAAAATTATTTGAAATTTCTGAGGATGTATTCCTTGCTAAATATATCTAGTCCGATATATTACTGAGTTGAGAATGGAGAGTTCAATTTGATGAACCGAAAAAAATATGGGGGTGCAATTTGAAAAATCAATGTTAGGGGTGGTTTCTAGTAGATTTTTCGATATGAGGGTGATTCGATTTCATTTTCTTGGGAGAGATTTTGCTCCCATATATTCCACAATTTTACAATTTTATATGTGTCAGATAACTTTTAAAAGATGAAATGAAGTTCTGGTGATATTTTTACCCATTTTTACCCTTAACATCCTTGAGAGGAAAAGTGGAACTTTTAGATAGATTATCGCTTCTTCGAAATTATCGAAAAGTAATGGATAGGTAATTTGAGTACCTATGTTGTATGCGGCAACCACTTTTTGAACTATAAAATCCCTCATTTATTTTGTTTTTTTCTTCAATTTTCAGGCGATGATTGTTCCGTTCTGAGGTCGTCTCTTGGGGTAGCAATGGGGTTGAAACCTTCAGTGGACTGTTCGACTTGCTCGAATCACAACACTACGTTATATCCAACACCAGCAGAAAATATAACTAAGATAACTTAAATGCCGGAGTTATTACTTATTGGTTATGTTGAATATTTATCTGTGTAAATTTGTAGTTAGTTCATTTCCAAAGTGCAATATCATTTGAAATATTTTTAAATTATTATATTAGATTGAGGTTGTATTATGTAGATATAGGTAGTTAGGAACCTGAAGCATTATACGGAAAGTATTACAGAAATAGAAGTTGAAGAGTCGTATATAGTATACATAAACCTACCATGTATATACAATGAAATAACCTATATTTTCTTTATTGATATCTATGAAGGCACAGTAGATATGTTACATAGGTATGGAACGTCGTCAAGTACAGAGTTATTTTAAGTTGAGTACATAATACAGGGTGTTTCATAATATATGATCGAGCAGAACTTCAGGATGTGATAGCTCATCCAAGAATATGGAAAAAAGTGGATATTGACTAACCCTTCAAAACGCACCAATTTCGAGATATATCAGGTTGTTGAAATTGAAAAAATAAATTTTCTCTGGATTATCTCGCATAGAAAACAGCTTTTGTAAGCATTTTCTACTCAAAATAAGCAATATTTTGTGCGGAATCTTTTTATCAAGTAATAATTTAATTGGTGAAAAATCTAAAGGGGTAGTGGTGTTTTTCTCCCCAACTTCTACGCACTATCTCTAGTACTGTTTTGAGCCCCTCATTTGAACTGCCATTGTTTTCTACACAGAATAGGTACTCTTGGTCATGACCTCTAAAGTTGACCGTTTACGAGGAAAATCAACTTTTATGTTGAAAAACATGGCCAACTTTTTTAAGAATTGCTGCGTGCATTGAAGCTAGATGAAGGATAATGGGCAAAAAACTGTATGTTACTGTAAAGGCAAAACATACGAATAAATACATTACTAATATAAACAGAGCGGTGTCAGCTAAATAATAATAGATTTCGCATCCTGTAGACTGATGTGGATAGGGGGTCCCCATCAATAACCTTTATAGATCATACAGGATTCAATAACCATTACCATTAGAGAAACTGGTTTTTTTAACCTCCGCGACAGGAAGAAGGGCGATCTCAAGGTTGGTAGAATTGATGATAATTTTTATTACAAAATAATCATCAGTTCTACCAACCTTGAACGATCTAGCCTTCAGACCCATCTAGTGGCAAAAGTGCAAAGGTATATGAGAAGATTGTTTAAGCAACAATACCTTCCGACAGAGATCTACAGATAAGTTAACTTATCTCTGCTTCCGAGTAAGTCGCACACAGATCCCTACGTCTATGCTACAGAGTACAGAGAGACAAATGCTTAGATCATACAGAACTCTGCAGACTGAAAGCGGTTCCATTTTTTGTTCAAAACATGTATTGTGTTGATCTCCTGATAGCTTGAATTGAAATGGCGGTAAGCTATTTGTAGATATCTGTGTATTCTATTATCAAACAGTGACCGAATATCGATTCAATAATAACTGATAATAATAAGTATTTAATCAAGTAGGTGAAGTTTTCTTTCAATGAAAAAACGGAAGTGTGAAGGAATCCAATTTTTTTAGCAGCAGAGAGCGCTAATTCACTAGAGAGTTGGCCCCGCGCAAGTATTGACACTATCCTGTCTTCCCACTCCCAGTTCCCATCCATTCGAATTTGGAATGAAGTTCTCATTCTGAAAGGGATCAGTTGAAGAATATTTTCATCATTATATATTCGATACGTTCTAAATATTTCCAGAAAATATTGATGTTTATAAGCATCTTACGAATGAAAAAGGCCTTCAGCTCACGGACTGGAAGATTTGTATAGTGGCAACTGAGTCAGTGGCAACACTTGAAGGGCTTGGGAGTTGGGTTGGGTTGGCACTTGAGTTGAGAGTATTTTTTGGGAGTTTAGGTTAAGACTGCAAGATGGCTGCAATGTTGGAACTTGGTTGGAATTCTGTTCTTTGTTCGATTGTTCCCGGTTTCTGCAAGATATAGGATTGTCTATTTGAATGTTTATTCAATGGTTTATTGATTATTGATTGTGCCTTTTGATAAAACCATAGATACTCCACTTTTTGTTGGAATATTTGTATATAGGATTTCTAAGCAATTTGACACAATGGGCAATAATTTTACCATAAATATGGAAGAGAATTTCAAGAAGAACCAAGAATTCATCACGGAAATGAATACAATAAAAGTCATAAATGGGCCACCAACATGTTTTGATTTATTCAAAAGATGAGTTTTTTAGATTGAGAGGCAGTTGCAAATGGAGAACATAATGAGGGAGAGGAAAATAGCTTTGGAAATTGCCAAATCCCGAGAATTATTTTTCTGGTATGGTGCTTTCTATTTAACAAGTGTTACATGGGCAGTGACTAGGTATGTTTGCATGGGGTTTGGGTAATAATATTGTACCCTAAATGTCACCATACATTAGTTTATTAAAGTTACAGATATAAGAGAAATCCACTGTTCTTATTACCAATAGTGCCACTATCTTTCATCATAGCTTACCAAGCTGATTTGTCCTATGGAAACAAGTTGCACAGAGTCATTAGTGAGTGCTAACACATTTGCATGTACTCAAGTACCATTCATCATTTTTTTTTTCAGTGGAGGCTGAACATATACTTCAGTTTGAAAGTGATTTGTTGTCCTTACCCTTGGGAGTCCCTACAGCATCCTCCATTGACTTGAAGAGATTTGAAAATGATGAACAGAAAAAGTTGCATCCTGTGTTACCGCCCATTTAATAGAACCTTTTGAAACACACACAACATGGCCACTGAAAAATTGTTTGAAATGTTGCCAATTCACAGGTTTGAAAAATCTTAGATACATTCCAGAAGCTTACACACTATATATGAGAAAATTAATTCAACAAAATCATTCCAAACATATGCACATGGCCATTGTAGTTTTGAATATCAACTTCTCTAGAGGTTGAAGTCATGTGATAAAAGAAGAGATGAAGAGAAATAACACTGTACTGTTTTATTTGAATGATTCACCCAAGAGTTCTAATATCAAAACTTCAGTTCAAGAGTGATAGGATCATTGCTTCATTTTCAATATCACTCAGTTTCAGTAGTTTTGGCTATCATTTTATTACACACTTCACATATGCCCATACTCAACTACCTATTCTAGATGATATTTGTATGGATACTCACGAAAAATAATATTCCTTATATTTCTAGAGTATCAGTGACATTTATATTAAAATTGCAATATCCTATAGGCAGTTATGAAGGAAAGGATTTCCAAAATATATTATGATATTTAATATGCCCCCATTGAGATGTTTATTTCCCCCAATAAAGTTTGAATAATTTGAAGACATACATTTCCCATCCCCTACTTAATTGACTTGACACTTGAGATAAACACAGCTTGGAAAAAACATCTTTATTAACGAAAAATTAATTTAGAAACAGGTCTGTATAAAAAAATAAAAAATACATCTGATATACAGAGCTATACTATGTCATCCGCAGTCCACGGGATTTGTTCTCTCTGAACATTTAACATTGATATAATTCGGACTACATGAACTCTAGTTTTTTGTAACAAGAATACTAACTTCCATCACATTCAAGTCAATATATTTAAGAAAAGATTAAGCATGAAACGGAAAGAGATCAACGGAGGTTAAAAACGAGTTACAACAAAATCATAACTTTTTTACTAGGTGATGTCAGATCTAGGCCAGTATTTTCGACGTGTTTTAGGCAGTGTTTTATAAGATGGGTTCATCGAACACGCAGTAGTCAAAACGTGAAAAATACTAGTCTACTAAGCTTAGTGGCTTATTCATCAAGAGAATTCGAATAAAACGTTTGTCAGAACTCGGACATTGTTTTTTTTTTATATCACATGAGAACCTCATTTCACCAATTGTAAAATATGAGTTCACTTCAGCGATACTTGAGTACAATGATCTATCTATTTGGCACCAATTTGTCTTTTGTCATACAAAGAAAATGTACCTATGTAAATTCTGGAGATAAGTTTCTTATGAAAAGACATTAGGAGCTGCTAATTGATAACCATCAATAAATTTTCCGTAAACAACATAAAATATCCGGTGAACATAACAGGAAAACAACAACGTGCACTTTAAAAAAAAAAGGAAACATACGTATCACAGAACATTTAGTCCTAACGGTTTACATTTAATTGTCATCAGCCATAATGATAGTTATAGCACTGGTTGCAGATGGAGACTGATCAGTGAATACATATTTGCTAGGTGTAAAGCGCCCCCCACCCGAACTCAGCGACCTTCTCAAAGACTTAGGAGAATTCCTCTCCCTCTTCGAGAACGTCAGAGACTCCAACTCATGACCGTCAGGCGCCGCTGCCAAAGGCCGAGGAGGCCTATCTGGCATCCGCTTCGGCTTGGAGCAACAAACAAGCGACGCATACTGGAACTGTCCGCAATTCTTGCTGGGCCCCGCGATAGCCAACAGTGAGCCCAACAAGAAGGTGGCATAGATCCAGCTGATGCCCATGACTAGCACCAGAAAAATCCCTAATTGTATATAGGGAAGGATCAAGGATGGCAACATGAAGGCCCCCGCCGCCCCGGTGGTGACCGCCGCCATGAAAGCGGGCCCCGCCATGTAACTGAGAGCGTGTCGGGTCGCTGCTTCTCTGTTCACAGCCACGGCTTCAGGACACAAGCGGTAGTTGACGGAATAGTGCAAACTGAAGTCCACCGTTAGGCCTATAGCCGTGGAGACTGCGGTCGATTCGAGGATATTCAGCTTCCAGCCTAACATTACTAATACTGCCATGGTCACGAAAATACTGCTAGTTATCGTTATGATTGCGTATAAACTAGTGAGGACGTTCAAGGTCGCAAAAAATAATACTGCTAGGGCCAGGCCCATCGAGATCGCAACTGCTATCTCGGTGCTTACGCTCAGTTCCCTTTGAAGATCGTAAAATTCTAGTTCGCTGATGAACCAGCCGTTTTTGAGGGAGTCGGGCGCGGTTTTCAGTTCCTCGGTCATAAATCTTTCGACTTTCGTGAAAAATTCGTCCATTTGATCGTATGACATCGAATAACTATAGTTACTATCGTATTCTATGATAACAGCTTTTATTGTCGGGTTATGGTCTTTCGAGAATTTGGGACCAGCCATGCCTGGGCTCAACCATTCTGAAGGGGTATCGTAAATATCAGCGATTTCGTCGATAATGCATTCATTGAATACACTTCGATTGTAAGGAAATCTGGACGTCTCGCAACAGGGTGACCTGTCTTTGTTCATGAAAGCATCGTAACATTTCCTGTCCATAGATTGCATGAAGGTTTCCACAAAGCAATTCGGGAGCAGAGGTCCTATCATGGAATGGTAGAAGGGCTGCTGTCTGACTTTCCGGCAGAAATTCAACAGCCACTCTTGAGATTTGGGATCGGCAATGTCGAACGACGGGTCGAGGGTCAGAGTGCCCAAATTTGATGGATCCAGGTGATCACCATTGTCTATGGGGAGTACTCCCCATACGAATCTCAGTGGAAGCTTGTAGTTGTTTTGTTGCATCTGGAAATTCCGAGAATATCACTGTCGGGAAGTGCTTCAAACAATGTACAGGCTGATAGTTCAGAATTCCACATTGACTAAACCCTCAAAAGTTTGAACTATACCTAGGTTGGAACTTAGAAAGGAAAAATAAAGTGAAGAAATTTGCACATTCGAATGAAAAATAACAAAATGGACGGATCTAGTCGAAATTAATTGAAAATTTCCAGATTATTTGCAGTAAATATTTCATCAACAAATTATGGAGCTCCAGAAGACAAAAATATAGGTACCTGCGATGTCTCAGTTTCAATCCACTATTTGAAGAAAAAAAGATAGCTGGATAGATTATCATCAAATTCTGATGTACAAAATCAGTTAATTTGCTCTAATTCCTGCTAATTGAAACTGATACACCATGTATTATAACTTTTTAATATGACAGTGCAATATGGCAGTAACTTACCTTTTCAGGGTGGTTGAACCAGAAGTGACTTTTGTATTTGAAGTCATATTGTTCAAAAGGATGGGACGTAGCAAATAGCTGAAACTCGCTAGTATTTGGCAACTGGAGCTTGGGATAAACAAAAACGATATAGCCACTTAAAAAAGCAATAGCTGTCAGCAGTAAGAACCAGACGTATTTGAGACGTACAACGATATCTAATAGCCACTGCTCCTTTGCTTTCCAAAAAGTATTGAAAACCGAACAGTGGCACCAAACAGCAGACAAATTCAATTGGGGCTTGATGCAGCACCATCTCTGGTAACACATCATCAAACAACTTCTGAAGAGAGTATCACTAGAGAAGCAGGATCTTTCCCAGATCACTATACAGGCTGGGAACCAAGTCATCATCAAAAAATAGTTTGCTATAACAGCGATTCCTGCAAAAATACTGAAAAAAATACGAATTATCTACCTTGACTGAAATTGAGAATACTCAGCAATAGTTCCAGTTAGGAATCGACCTATAATGAAGTTTTGGCCGATGAAATATGAGAAACTAATGAATAACCAAATTAGGTACTGATGACACAAATATTTCAACCAATGCTGATAATCGACCAATGGGCAATATGTATATTATTATTTTGGTCGATCCCTAACAGAAATGCATAACTTTTCAAGTTATAAAATATGATTTTTGAAAGGTTCATACTTGGACAACTGTTATTGTACAAATAGATTGAGTATGTATAGTTGTATTCACCTGAAGCAGCTGACAGCAGTGACTGAACTAATATAAGACCCCAAAAACGCAACTGCAGTGGTCAATGCAGTTACAAACATTGACATAAATGCATGATGGAAGGTATCAGTCATTGTCTTCAACAAAGAACATCCTTGGTCTTGCTTCTGCATTTGCCAGATTTTGCAAAAAATGAAAGCATCATCGGAGCCAATACCTAAAACATCCATATAAGAACACTGTTTTTTTCAAGAAATTGATTTTTTCTTACCTATCGCTACTATAGTAGCTAGTAAATTCATGAATGGAAAAAATTTTATCTCAAAAACAAGAATGTACATAAAATAAGATATAGCTAGTGAGAATACAATCACAATTATTGTCATTATAGTGAGGAACAATGATTCAGTATAAACCCATATGCAGACAAAGACAAAAAGTGCCCCAGATCCCATTAGATAGGTGTCTCTTATCAGATATTCATCAAACAGTGCACTCTTTATTCCAAAATCTATTGCTACCACTTTCATACCATCATATTCCAAATTCAACTCAATCAGTTCATGATAATATGGTATGATAGCAGTGCTGCAAGCTAGTGGTAAAAAAATCATCACTTCTTTCAGCTCTGTTGCTGTGTCAGTATTCTAAAAAAAAAACATGATTCTACTATATACAGGAAGCCCCATATATACGTATTATAATGGTGAATTGTACAGGGTTATTCATCATAAACCGATTTGAAAAAAAATTGGAAGCAAAGTGTTTGAAATGATCACGATTTTATGTTAAGACACATGGAATATCAAATATCTAGTCAGTATGAAAATAACCCAGTTCAAAAATTGTACAGTAACAATTCTCTTACATTTGGAGGAAGAAAATTTGTGCTGGTCAAATAATACAGGATGTTGAACACAGCATCATGCCTCAAACATTCTATTGGGGCTTCACAATAAGGGGTTCCTTTGAGACATTCTGAATTGAGTTGAAATGCGTGAAAATATTGAGCACATTTTACTAAAATTTTCCGAGTTCTCTGTACATCATCTTCCTAAAAATAATCATATATAAGTACTGATGAATATTATACAGGTCCATTGGAGATTTTACCGTGATTGCCAAACATGAAGTCCTTTTGTTGAATAATGCTATATAGTTTGGCAGGGACCAAGGTTTGCAACATTTTCGATTGAAATATGGATTCTGAATACAGAGGTCATTGTAATACTTTATATTTATCAGTTCGTGTTCTAAACGGCACATTGCTAGCATATTATTCAGATTGAATAAATCTCTTTTATTGTGTGTTGTTACAACCAAATGACCATACTGTGGTTCTATAAAAATCGTACAATTAGTATGTACATAAGCCAAAATAAGCATGAATATAGGTCATATGAAAAATATCTGAGGACTTACAGAATTATTGAAACACTGTAAACTGAACTTATACAGGGTGGTTCATTAAGAATGGAAACTCTGAACTACAGATAGTAAACACTACAATATGAAGAATCAGCCTAACATGCAGAAAAGAAAGTTACTGGTTTAGGAGATACAGGGTAGGGTGTACAAGGGGAAGATTTTATTTTAAAATTACTCAATAACTTGGTAAGTCTTAACGGAGGTTTTAACAGCATAAACATGACATTTTGTATTCTCAGGTTTTCTGACATGAGAAATATGAATTTGTAACTCATTTTGTAGTTGCTCATAAACGGGGCTACTAGCACTCTGTTACTTCTCTAAATTACATAATATATTTCTTGTCCATTGAATACCTAATGGTTGAAGTCAAAAAACTGGAAGCCTGTTTACTTTTACATAGAAAATATATTATTTTTAAAATGAGTTTTTAATATGTCTAGCTGTAACAGTTTTTGCATTATATGCTCTTGAAAATAAATGTGTTTCACTTGTAAAATTTTCATTATTTTGAATTATAAGGTTAGTGAAGTGACAGTGACAAATAAGACAGTAATCAATTACCAATCAATAATGCCGAAAACAAACATTTCAAAGCAAATATTCAGCAGAAGTTATGGAGAAATTTGAAATAAAATGTCTCCCTTCAACACCCTTTATCTGAAACATTTTCATAAGGCATGTTGGGCTAAATCTTCATATTTTGGTGTAGTTCAGTGTAAAAGGCAAAATATGTTACCAGTATAAACATAACAAAAATGTATTATTGGTTTAATACAAATGTGGTCACATGGCCTTCAATCATAGTTGAAGACAGGACAAGAATCATGATGAAAAAATCATGAATTTTTTGTGGTATTTCAATTCAATTGATGTACTTGATGATGTAATGTTAATTTTGCTTGCCTCAAGGTTTTTTTATTCAATAATCACAGGTTTATAAGAGGACAATTAGGACCTGATCACATTACAATGATTAATTAGTCAAGGAATATTTATGTCAGTGTGGAGTACCTACTTGGCTCATAACTAAAATATCTCATGGCAATTGCTAGTGTTGACTGAAAAACTAAATTATATTGAATTCTCACTAGATATTCAGCTATGTGAGTCCAGTATTGAGTTTTCTTCTTGCCCTTTCCTTTGAGAGCCATTTCAAATTATATCAAATTGGTTGAGTGTGAGCTATGAATTAATTCATTTGTTTGATTCATTACCTGGACTGTCACAGAAAAAATTTTCATCTGCATCATCAGAATGTTTATTAAGAGTAGGAGTCAAACTTTGAAGGGCCTTCCATCTGTCATGCTCAACTGTAACATCACTAGTATTCTTGTCTTCATTCAGTGTAACCTACAAAAAAATTAGTAATTGAAGATAAACATAGCTGAGTTAGTAACATTTTATATTATTCAAAAACTCTTCATCCCCAGATGTTACCAAAAGTCTTGATTCACCCTGTACCTATTATTGTTATATTTTTGTAAGATATAATTTCAATAAACCAAGATCACCAACATCCCTGGCAAAAACTTGATTGGGTATAGATTGATTTGATTCATATGGAAAAATGAAGAACTGAGTTTTCAAATAGGTACTTACACTTCCATAAACTGGTTGTGCTTTTGGTTTCTTTGGTTTCTTCAACTTCTTAGCCTTGGGTTTCCTAGATGGTTGATGCTGAGAATTGTTTTTATTTGGATGGTATGAATATTCTTTGGGGTTTGTGGTCAACTCACCAGAAGGCCTCATAGACTTTACTAAATTTGACCAAGTAGTTAACCTATTTGAAATTATGGTACCTCTTGTAGAAAAGCCCTTGAAATAATTTTTTGTTAGAAAGGTTGCCTATATTGTTTCATTATTATAATATGCATTCAATCAAGAAAATATTTAATACTCAATTCAAGTAGGAAAAAACACAAATGTTATAATTTGAAGTGTTTTACATAATTGGGTAACTCACCAACTGTGGATCCTGAAAGCTTGGAAATGTGATGGATTTTAAAGTAAATGGGATGACAATACATGTTCCAGAAAAAACTGCAACAGCTGCCAAAATAATGAAAGGGTGGTGGACAAGAACATTTGTGAACCAACTGAAATTCATATTATAATGCAATGGGACCACCAACAAGTGTTTTTTTTTTAATTATTTTCAGGTGATCTATCTGAATTTTCTATTTTACAAAAGCCACTCCATATCTCAGGCATATTGTTCAACCTGAAAAAGAAGAAGTATAATTTCTGAAGAAATTTTTCATTCAATATCAATAATCACTTGAAGGTACAAAATTATAAGAAGTGCTAGCTAAAACAGACGTGAATTTTTCCTGTACTTTCCATACGTAGTAGGAGACGTATAAAGTAATCAACATTCAACTCTTCAACGTGCTTCAACCCTGTGTGCCTGGATAATATCCAGGATTTCAGGATGGCCGGGGCGGTAACAACACATTGTTGATCGTTCAGAACTGCTTTTGACTCACCTCGAATTGACCATTAATTGCTTTTTCGGTTACTAAGCATCAAGGATGCCTCGATGCTCATACTCATCTCTTTATTTTTCAGCTCAAAACGAAGGAAAACAATTCAAAATGTAAAAGTGTCTCATGTTTGTTTGATGTTGGTGTAAGAATGTGAGTAGATTTTGATTTTGTTTGATATTTGATATGTTGTGACTTGTGACACTTCTGACTTGTGAATTGGCACGAATCCGTTTTGCCCACACATATGCATAGGCGATTCCAATAAACCAATCAAAACAATCCAAGAAGCGCCTGCGTGTTAAGAAACGATTAGGATAACACGCAACATGCAACAAATTAAAAAATAATCCATGTGTCGGTAACTGCTTATGTCGACCAAATTCTTTCTTGAAAATGTATATTTTCAGAATATAGATTGGGTTTTTTCAATTCAGGATTTCTTTGCACTACTTGATTGGGAATATTGGGATCACCTCATCATTAAATTTACTGTAAATAAATTCTAACTTCATACTTTAATTTTCAATTCTCATTGCGTTCGGATTCCACTCTGGTGACCACAGTTGGTTTTTAATTCTGTTTTCTCAAGTGGTTTTCTGAAAAATAAACTTTTTAGTGAGAATAATGATGAAAAGGTTCATCTAGACCAAGTGAGATTAGAATGTTTAAAAAAAGTAGCATTTTTTCTTGAACAGAAGCACAGAAGGGATAACATATGTTCCTTCCTTCCATCCTTCCTCAAAAAAGTACTGTGGAGGCATTTACTGTTGAGGCTGATAGTGATTCATAGTGAAATTTTCTGTAGAATTGATTACGTGCCAATCATGAAGGTCTTGCTATCATTTTCTATTTTGTGGAAACATCTCAGTGGAAACATTCGATATCCGAATTTACCGCCAGTGATTTGAACTTATCGCCATTTGCGATAGAAAAGTAAGCTTACGCCACCTATCGGAGTTCTTGAAACTTGTTAAAGGGACCTGTTTACTTTGTTTTCATTGTTTCACATTGTTTTTTTTTGTTTGTTCTTATTGGTCATAAAATCGAAACAAACCGGTCATAAGTGTTCGAGTTGTTGCCATCAGGTGGGGCGACATGTTATTTTCTATCGCGAATTGCTCAAATCGCTTTGATTGGTATATAATATAGGAATCGCCTATGCATATGTTTGGGTAAAACGGATTCGTGCTGTGAATGAAAACTGCAACTACTGCAAGCGCCTTGGCGCCTGGCGCCCCTGACCATAACCAATGCCAAGTTCGGGGGTTTAGTTGAGTGGTTGAGTTGAGAGTGGTTGAGACGTTGAGAGTGTTGAGACTGTTGAGAGTTGTTGAGATTAGAATGATCAGATATCAGATCAGACCACAGACTACAGTTTGTTTATGGTTCAGATTGCAAGTGCAGATTGCAGAAGGAAATATTATGAATTTAAATTTTGTTGATAACTAATAAACTGGGTAAATTATAGAAATCAAGAAATCACTTTATTGAGTAAGTTTGTAATAATATGATTCCTATATGGCTTGTAAGAACAATTGTCCTTCTTGATGAGCCAAATAACATGATATTAAATATCTCAATAAAGGTTTGTCCTACAGCCGCTTTTGAGATGATCAGTTTCAATATAAAAATCAAACATTGGAAATTTACCCTTTTGCCTTCTGATCTACTACCTAGGTATGGGTACTATTTTGTTCATTAAGCATTTTGACAAACTTCAGTGAAAAAATGTCTTATGTACCAATTTTTTCAGTTGCAGAAATAGTTCTATATTTCATTGGGAAGGGAAGATTAACTTTTCAAATTTCAGGCTCAAAATTTGCATATCAAACAAAGTGCCACTGAATAATGAAGAATAAAACATCAGGACAGTACCTATACCCACCTATTACTACTTCAAAGAGAAACAAACACTAAGTTGAACCACTTTTAGAATTGTGGGCAGCTTTCCTTAACTTTATTGCTATATGTCATTGTTTCATTTTTATTCATTTTGAATGTTTGATTATATACATATAGAAAGCACAGAGCCTCATCCTGATACCAGAGATTATATCTCTGCTGATACTAATAAGAGCATTGACTTGTTCTTTCAATTTTTACAAGTGGCTGAGTGGCATGAGGTGATAATGTCTTGTACATTATGTCTACTATTTGACAAAATGAACATCAGGTAATTAGTTGGTTGGACACAACTACAATCTCCACTATTGCTGCTGCTTTAACACAGATTTTACACTCTTTTCAGATTACTGTAATGCTGGGACCCTAATATGTTTACCTACATGAAAATATGGTTTTCTTTGACTTGGAAAATTGATTCATTCATTGTGTAGGTATTTGTTTATGCCATCCTATATATTGTTTCACTGAAAATCTGACTGAAACTGATTCTATTATTCTCAGAAATTTTGAAACAACAATGTTTCAAGATGTATAGGTATACCTACTCTTCAACAAAATTCCACTATGTCTTGAGGAAGCCCAGAATCTTTTTTTCACATTGATTGGAAGGTTGTAGGTGGTTGTAGGGTGAAAATTCAAGATAAAATCATATTCTGTTTATGTAAATATAATTTTAAAAAATAAGTTACACTTTAACTGTATGTATATGATACCTATATTTTAAATCCCTTAAAAACTGTAAGGCACATTTGATGATGTCTTATTTTAAATAGGATATAATATAAAAATTGGCTGACATATAATTTGAATGGAAATTCGAATATCCAAAACGTTAGAATTCTCAACCTGATATGTACAAAATAAAAACAAAATAACGAAAAGGATATTCCAATAAACATATAACATGATAAAAAATATATATTATGATTTTCAAAGTAAATAATAACATGAACAATAATTGAACAAATATATTTGTGTGAAATATAAAATTATACATCTAAACTTCCACTTTGAATGGCGAGCCAGGGATGTGATCGTCTCCCCACTTCACTATTACTAAGTAGTCACCCCTATCTCTTACCATGTAGTTAACTGCATATTGGTTGTGACCTTGATGTTTGATGTAGACCTCTTCACAAGGTCCCTTAGGTCCATGGATACCAACAAACAAGATATTCACTCCTGCAATAAATATAATTATTATATTCACAAAATACAGGGTATTGCAGGACGACGAGCTTTATATCAAGAATCAGAAATTCATGAAAATGTGAATGCTAATACAGTTTGTCCCGCTTTTCATCAATACACCCTATAATATCTCAGTTATGATTGATGCGATTTTCTTAAAATTATTGTGATGATTGTATCTTAGAACAGTAATGAAGTATTTGGCATAGTGAACATTTCTATTTACCATTGGCGTGCGATGTTGAGGGGTACAAAAAGGCAGGCCTTATTTATTTGGGAAAAGTATATTAGGCTTTATTCCAACTTTTACTATCAGATTCAGATTTTGATTTTGAAAAATAAAACATTTCAAAATGCCGCTTTTCGTGACTGAAATCTCAGTTATGAATGATGCGATTTCCTTGAAATTTTGATGGTGATTCTATGTTAGAAAATTAACATTAAATCAGCATCACAATTTCGAGAAAATCGCATTATTAATAACTGAGATTTTAGGGCATACCTAGTCATGAAATACGAGTTTTTGAATTTTTGAAAATATGAATTGGTGGTTTATGGGGAAGCTGATTCTGACTCTGATGAAAAAAGTCATTTAAAATAAGCCCTAATATCCTTTACCCGAATTAAGGGCTTATTTGAACCCCTCAACATCGCACGCCAATGGTGAAGAAACTGTTCACTCTGCTGAATACTTCATTGTTCTAACAAGAATCACGACCAAAATTTCACACTGTATATGAGATTACACTTCTTCCTTTAAAATATTTTCGACAATGCAGTGTTGCCGCTTCTATCTAAAAGTAGCAACAACTTTGTTATTTCAAATGGAATACTCTGTATATTGATGAAATTTGTTCTAAAATTTTTGTTCTAAAATTTGTTCTCTCCGTCATTCGGTTGCCCCCTTACGAGCAACCCTCAAAAGTCTTCGAAAGTCTTGTGCGAGCAAGGAATGACGGGGGTCTTACCTTTTAACGTGTGATCCCAAACACTTTCTTGGGCCATCAGAAAAATTTCTGCAGTCGACGGGGATCGAACCCACGACCGGCAAGCGAATGCGAATTAGAATATAGACACTCTGTCCGCACGGCTACCTGGCCACCTCTTATTTCATCAATCTCTGTATTTCATTACATTTTTAGATTCTCCCTGAAGATATGATTTCATTTTGCGTGCATTGAAGCTAACGGCGGACATTGGGAACAATTCATTTAATTGAGTACGATTTGTTATTGTTTTTTTCAATTATGCAATCATGAAGTTAACGTTTGGTTTTGTTACTTGTTAAAAAAATATCTAAAGAAATTTACTTTGTTTTTCTACATGTAAGTTTATTTTTCTCGAAAACGGTCAAATTTTAGAGGTTATGACCTGTTTTGTGTAGAAAACATTGGCGATACTAATGGGCGGCTCAAAACTGTACTATTTCAATGGCGTAGGGGTTGAGAAAAACACCCAGTACCCCTTGAATTTTTTTACCAATTATGACTCAAAAAAACAAAATTCCGCACGAAAAACATCTTATTATGAGTAGATAATTATCATGAAAGCTTTTTACTGTCCGATGAACGGTTTCAGAGATATTCGCAAAAAACATTTTTTTTTAAATCTCGAACATTGTGCATTTCAGAGGGTATATCAATAGATACTTTTTTCAAATTCTTGGACGAGCTATCACATTCTGAAGTCCTGCGCATATATTATGAAACAACCTGTATACCATTATTGGCAAAAAAGGACATAAAAATACAGGTAATAATTAGGAAATGCCAAATATTCATAGGTGATTACTCACCAGCATTCTGTGCTGAAATTGTGAATTGATTCTGCTTTCCAAGATAGGCCTTTTTCAATCCCATTCCTTTAGACTGAACTTTTGAACCATCACTCTTGAAGTTCGGTAATACCGGTCCCTTGTTATTGTTGTTCTTTCCTACTTTTACTACAGTTTCTACAACAACGGAAGACGTTTCTTGGCCACCGATGTCCGCTACTTTAGCATCACCTTAAATCCAGAAACAAATTGATAGCAATAAAAAATGCAACGTTTGCAGATATTTATTCATCAATTAGAAAAATGGATGCTTACCTTTACAGTGTACTTTGAAGGGTGATCCTACGATATGGTTATTGTTATATTTAATACTGACGAAGTAGTCTCCAGGGGCTAGAGGGGTGTAACGGACTTTGTATCCCTCTTCAACTTCTGTGCAGTCCATTGATACTTTGCTGGGGCCATCAATATTGACAGCTAGGGTACCACTTCCAGCATTCACAGTGTCTACGATGAAATCTGTCTTTGCTCCTGCAAATATTTTATTTCGTATCAACAAGATAATTGACAGAATTTTTCGTCGAAGATGAAAGTTTATTTAATTAACTACAACTAAACTGGTTAACATTTTTGAAACTTCAAATTGAAAATTGTTGAGGTTTGTTAATTCATATCAAATTCTATGACTTTATCATGTTCTGAATGTCATCCTATACATTCCTTAGTATTATGTCTATTTTCCTACTGTGTGAGTAGATCATCTTACCAGTTTTGATTTCTTTCAGTCCATTCCCACTAGCATGTACCGCAGCAGGATCAGCAGTGTCTTTACCGACTTTAACGCTGAACGGAGATCCAGGAATATGGACCCCATTGAATTTGGCATGGATTTTGTGAATGCCGTTTTCTCTTGGCATGAACCGTACAGAGTATTCCTCCATGTCGATGATTTGGACGAAACAATCATCTTCATGCCCTGATGGACCGATGATCTGGAAAATCATTTAATTGCCTTCAAAACATCCACTGGTGAGTTCCTATATATCACTATGTCAGTATTAACTGCTATCTAAGATTATGTCATAAGGAGCGGTCACACACTTGATAAACCTAATCAAGGGACCACAGAACAAATATTCACTCTAGAAAACCAGTAGAGAGGCAGACACACTTCTGAGTTTTGCAATGCAACAGTCCAACAGTAAGCAAAACCTTACTGCGCAAACTCAGTAGTGCACATGCGTGAAATCCATTTGCGCCAATCTATGACTATTGCATTCATTTTCTAAGGGAAACATACTTTCCAAATTTGTTTAGGAAGTTTAGAACTCTGGATGCAGAAGGTGAATATGTTTCTTACCTTGGCGTCCAAAACTCCTTTGGCTTCATTTCTGCGTACGATGAACTGGGATGGTTTGTCGGCTTGGATATGGCCTTCAGGGAATTGGCATACTTCTAGTAAATGGGCATCTCCTACTGCAGGAGAGATGTAAACCTTGAACGGTGAATCGGGAACGTGTTCATCGTTGAATTTCAGTCCAATGCGGTATTCACCTGGAGAAATAATAGTTTGTTGTCAATAACTCCCGGAAAAATTATTTTAGAGAAAGTCGCCTACACAGTCGGAACGATTTGCGCAGTGTACGGTGTCCGACTCATGACCGCCAGGGCGCGGGTTCGAATCCCAGTCAGGGCACGGTATTTTTCTAACATTTAATTTGCGAATCGAATATTGTAAAATTTCGGAGCATCGACTGGGGATAGGCCTGCACGATTCACTGTTGCGATTCAATTAACAGTGCTCCTATGGAGCCTGCACAGAACACATCATTCCAGAACACTTTGTACTGCAGGACTTCAATGGATGTTGATGGCTAGATACCAAAAAAGGGCACATATTATTTATACTACTGCTCGCGTACACATATCGATTTTTGTTTGGAGAGGGACATCATTTGACGTTTTTATATATTTTTATATATCGCTTTCAATAAACAGTCTATAATTCTAAATCAACAATATTTTATTGCAATATATTCTTCAATAAAGCCACTAAATTCGAAATCATAAACATTCTCATCATCCATCTGAACAAGTTTCAAACCGAAGTTGATGCCTCAAATAAAATTAAAATGATATTAAAAATCTGCAAAAATTTCAAAGTAATTTTGGAAATTTGAAAAGGTCTAAGCTTCAACTTGAAGTAAATAGATCATCATTGATCAAAACTTTCAAACAAAAAAGTTAAGGTACTTTTAAAATAGAAAGAAGAAATTTTCGAAATTTGAAGTTTTAACATTCGATGTCTTCTTCATCATTTAAACATTTTTTCAACAAAAATTCATATAAGGAAGTTGTCAACCAAAGTGACGATGCTTCAGACATAAATGTCTGTTTATTCACTCAATATTGCCTCTTGGAGTGAGTAAGACTATGGGTAAGTACTCACATCATGAATCTCGATCACAATCAAAATATAAGTAACTAAACATCACTTCTACATGTGACGGCAATTTGCAGGTGAGCAATCGTCATATTGTTTCTAGGTTAGGTGGATTACATAAAATTCATCTGGTATAAATAAAATCCCGAACCTTCTGATGCTGGGGAGCCGACATCGACTGAATTCAAACTAATCTCCTGGATCACTTTATACATCGTAAACGGGTTTAGGTGGAAGCATCTGAACTCTTACAACAACAAACATTTGATTTCTGGGAGTGATTGCCGCTCTCAGCATATGAAAAATATCTTACCATTAAATATATGATTCAATCGTCTAAATTTAACTTTCCCAAACTACCTTGAGGATTTTTTTGTCACAACTCACTTCGGAACAAGCTGCAAATTTTTGGTTTGGACCGGTGCCAGCTCTAATCAAAGTCACCGATAAATAAGAGTCACTGATAACCGATCTGAGTGAGGTTAAAATTTCTGTTTATTTTGATTTCACCAGAAATAATCATTTGGAGAATATACTCAAGGTTTATGAATGAAGTGAAACATTTTGGAGAATAACAGTTAGGTAACTGATTGGTGATTATCTAATTCTACTGGGTTCAATGATGTTTATCCAAGGAAAAATACCCTTATTATACTCGCGATATCGGATGCTGGGAGATATTCTTGACCTCCAGCCGGTTTGAATTCCCGCTGAAAGTGATTCATAGTTACTCGAGCCATTCCGATCACAGGCAGCTCGACGATCTAATAATAACGATCTTATCCCACACACCATAAATTACCACTCATATGAGAAGTTCCAGAAAAAACAAATTACATAGTCAGGGATACTTACTGAAAGTGTACATCTGAAAGAATGCTTGTGATTTGGATTTAGATGGAGCTCTTCCTCATCGAAATGGAAATATTAGCATATTATCGAACTTAATAATTTCGTTCAAAACTAAACTGATCGAAAAACGTAAGGATATTTTTGAACGCCAATAACGAGAATTCATTTTCTGTAAAATTTTCGAAACTTGTATCTTGCTGCTTTCAAGTTGGGAACCAACTCCCAAGAAGTCGAAACTTGTGAGGGGTTAGGAATAGCGCGACATACAGCTTATAGTGGAATCCGATGTTCAAACACAATATCCTCAACTTTTTTTCGATCAGGATATATGAAGTGGTAGAAAAACTTCCAGTCATCTCCACAATCATCTAATGAAAATCAAGCGATATCAGAGGAAGAAGGACATGTTTCTACCACTTCATCCATTTACTCCACTATACTAGCCTCAGTTAGTTTTTTATATCCAGTGTTTGTCATAAAGTATGTATAGCATAATTATGAGAAAAAAGTTCATTATTAGTGTATTGGAAAAATTATCCTTGGCGATTTGATTGCTTAAATAACTTTTTCCGATATCTTGCCGGCTAACTCCATTTATTACCTCTCCAAAATAATGTTCTTCAATTTACCATCATACCAATGATAACGTGACATCTTTAAAAATGATTTTCAGGTTGTCGGATATGTATTGTCGACGACTTAGAATATACGCTAATGAATTGTGGAGGTTGAGTTCGGCCAGGGAGTTTTATTCTGGTCCACATTTCTCTTCTTTCGTGACCCAGAGGGTCTCGTTGATAATTCTAAGTTTTTCTACGAGCGAATGCCCATTCGTCCATAATGTATCACGTGATTCACTGTGACCAATCTGATAATGAGGTTTGGGAAGGGTTCGAAAACTTCAGCCTCTAGTTTAAACAACAGGGTTAATCAAGGCAACATGTTTTCTACCTTATGCTACCTTTCGGGATATTTGGAAGCTATTAACGCGGTGTACTACTTTTTGGTTTTATCAAAACAAACCGCTCAGAAGTGTTCAAGTTATTGCCGTCAGGTGAAGCGACATGTTATTTATTATTTGATTTTTCATGGCGATGTGATTCTGATGAAATTTAAATCAAAATGCGAGAGAAGTCCAACCTATTATGTTCAAAAACACAGGAAATGAATTGTCCTGCTCTGAAAATGTGAAATGGTTAGGAATCACTTTGGATAGGCAGCTGTTATGGACGCATATTGACCAAGTATGCAAAAAACTACGTAGTGCGTGCTACAGCATCAAATATATGAAAAATCACTGTAGTAAACAAATTCTGATCACTTTTTATTATGCCAACTTTCACTCCAACATAAGATATGGAATACTTACGTGGGGAAATAGAACCACAGCAAACAGAGTGTATTTTTACAAAAATATGTGTTACGTATTATTAAAAATACTGACACGAGGACTAGTTGTAGAGAACTCTTCAAGAAACACAAAATCCTTACATTGTACAGCATATATATATTAGAAGTATATATTTCATATATTTCTATAAAATGAACATCATTGCAATTGCCTACCAAAGCATGATCATAACACTTGCTACTGCAATTCGTTACAACCCAACTCTCACTCCACTACACTTTATCAAAGGAGTTTTTATTTCATCGGGTGCAAATTGTATAATGAAATAAAATCCGCACCCAATGTGAACATTTTCAAAAAAAGATTGATGACAGTTTTAATCCAAAAATGGTGTTTTTCATTAGACGAATTCTTCATTTGTATTATAACACTTCATTTTGTATTGCTATATATAGACCATTTATTTATCTATTTATTTATATGTTTTGTTTGATATTAAGTGTTTTTGACGTTTTTGTTCATTTATATTCCAGATGTGAATATTTTAAATGGAAAACGAATAAAGTATCTATCTATCTGATAAGGGGAAGTAATCGTGACTGTTCTATAGATTATATTATTGGGAATTTTCGAAGGAAGCAGTCTAATGTGACCAATATTAGTTAGATTTCTTCGTTATTTGTCGAGCTTTTGAAAAGGTATATTTTCTTTAAAAAAAAATCTAACTAATATTGGTCACATTCGACTGCTTCCCACGAATATTCCCAATATTATTATCTATCTATCTATCTATTATAAAAATATCCGAAAAGATCCGAAATTTAAACGAAAATCCGAAATATTGCAGGATCTGAAAATCATCCGCCCTATCAAAAAATATCAGTAAATCGGACTTTTATCCCCCCATTAATAACACTCAATAAAATGTTCCCCCTCACCTGGCTCGGACACCTTGTAAGACACATCGCAGGACCCGTCTTTGCGGTCGGTGAAGTTGATCTCGGCCTTGCTAGGGCCCTCGACGGAGATGGCCAGTTGACCGCTGCCGGCCTCCCTCGTCCACACGTTGAACTCATTGACCTCACCCTGCTCGCCTCGCTCCAGACCTGCACCGCCGGCCTTGACCAGATGGGCGCCGTGGTCCCGGTACGGACCGACAGTGAACTGGAATGGGGATCCTGCGAAAAGGATTTGTTTTATATTCTGGTTCCCACGAAATGGGATATCCTGTAATGTACAGAGAACATCGTGAGAACCAAGGGAAATAAGGTAGGAATTGGTGGTCTCCTTAAATTTCTGGAGGTTATATGCCTCAAGGAACATCTCTGTTGGCAATGTGTTCCAGAGCCTCGCTGTTAGTTGGATGAACGAGTCTTTAGAAAGAGATGTTCTGCAGGTCTCCAAAGTGACCACGAAGGGGTGCGAAGCGTCAACTCGACCGATTAATCTCGCGGGGACTGCCAAGGAAGGAACAATTGTTGATATTTCAGAAGAGCATCGTCTATGAAAATATCTATAAAATAGAGCCAGATCGCCAGCTTTTCTACGGTGTTCCAGAGAAGTGTGAGTTTGTGAGCGAGGCATCACCCACGAGCAAATTGCCCTTTTTTGGACAGAATCAGGGTCTGTTTGGGTGCTGCACTCCAAATATGGGAACAGTTTTCCAGGACAGGTCGAATCTGTGCCTTATAGATCATAAGCAGCTGACTGGAAGTGAAATAGCTCCTGGTCCGAAACAGAAAACCAAGAGATGCATTTTTAGCAATTGATCTCACGTGATTTTACCAAGAAAGGTGCACGTGTCGAAATGATACCAATCACTTGGTGGTATAGTCAGTTGAGTCAGTTGATTCTGTAACTTGTAGCAGTTTTAGGAAAAAAGGATTCACGTGCAAAATGACAATCACTTGGTGTTGACTGAATAAACCTCATTAAGTTCCAAGTAGTTAACTGATAACAGGACAATAGGCCTATAGTTATTGGGCAGGTACCCGACTTGCACGAAGTGGTGAAGAACTTGCAGAGAATCGGTGTCAATTCTGGGAATATTGGATGCAATTCCATCAGGACCGTTCGCATTATTCGTATCGAGACAACACTTTTATATTGATATACGCTATTGCTTCCAAGTCAATTTGAGTATATTCACTAGCAGCTACTGTGTTACAGAATCATGTTTTTCATTCAAGGATTATTTGTGATTTTTTTTTTCAATGGCCAACTACTCTTAGAGAAAATTTCCAGAAATTGAATCGTCAAAAGTTATTCGTGCCGTTACAATTTCTTACGGTTAATTCTCAACAATTTGAACCTTCAGAAACAATAGGAAAGGGAAATTGAATCTCGTTTTTTTGTCAAGTTGTTGTCGAACTGAGTCGAACATCAATTCTGGCTCTACTTACCGGGAATATGGATGTCCTTATACCTGACGGATACAGTGTGGACTCCAAGTTCTTTGGGTACGAAATTAACGGCGTACAATCCGTCTCTGACTTCATTGATTTCCGCATCTTCAGTTACTCCTCCAGGAGAAGTCACAGTGGCACTCAGGTCGAAAGAGGTTATGCCTTGAAAAATACAGTATTTATGTGTAATTTGACAGTAGGATTCATATTAATATATCAATAGAATTTCCCTGTTAGATCGGGATTGTTTTGAAACCCGTTGTTATAATTCTTAGTGATGATAATTTGTCTGGGCTAAATTTTTCATTTCCAGATCAGTAGGGAATTTAATGGCATTAGTGAGTATGAATATTTTAAACTGAACTTGTTAGTGGTAACACTATCGAATAATACTTTAACTACATAGCCTTGAGTTTTTAAAAATCTTCAGAAATAAATGATGATAATATGATAACAAACCCAATTTACTAACTTACCTGGCATTTTGAATGTCAGTTTACACTGACTACCAACTTCGGTGACTGGTACTGCTTCCCGTTGTCTCTGTATCTTTTCTCGTTGCCTGTTTGAGCCTTCTCCAGTAACCTAGAAGCAAATACAATTTTCTCAAAATGCTGAATGATCCAATTTCTATGAGTCCATATGATCCTCAAATACTACTAAACTGCTTTTTACCGATGTCAAATATTTGAAACTTGATGTAGGTATCAAATTAACTAGCATTATTCAAGCTTGACTTTATTCTGTTCGGCTAACAACATATTTCGAATTAATGAGCTCGACCGTGAAATAATGAAACCCCAAAAACTGTATACATTGTCTGTCATTATTGGATTGATGATATTCATCTGTTTGAAATTGAGATGTGAGAAATTAATTTTCCATACCTTAACAGTGAATGGAGACCCATCAACATGATGATCAGCAAACTTGAGATTAACAATGTAGTAACCCGGCTCCGTCGGCTTGTAAGATATATTCAACGTACCATCCGTATTGTCATTACACTGAATCTCAGCTTTGCTGGGTCCCTCAATCGACAGAGACAATCCCCCGAAACCAGCGTTCCTGGTATCGACAGTGAAAGCATTATCCAGATGCGTCTTCCCTTCCTTCAGCCCACCTCCAATGACCTTGACTTTTTTCGCGTCGCCAACTTCCCTTTCGCAAACGTTGATTTTGAAGGGCGAGTTAGTTATGTGGTTGCCCATTTTCTTCACGGACACGACATGCTCCCCGATTTCTCTAGGCGTGAAAGAGATGCCGATATTGCCAGTGGGTAGTCGTTTCAGGAAGCAAGGTTCCTCTAGGCCGCTGGGAGCTTGAATAGAGGCGTTGAGAGAGCGGATATCCGCGTCAGAAATTTTCCCAGGCAGAGACACCTCGCTGCAAGATCCCACCGAGATCTGGTTGCGCTTCCTGCCTTCTCCGGTGATTTTCGCGTTGAACGGCGACCCCTTGATGTGCTTGTCTCCGAACCTCACCGATATCTTGTACTCCCCAGGTGCCGTGGGCAAATAAGACACGGAGACGGTTCCGTCCTTGTTGTCGTGGCAGCTGATCTCCGCCTTGCTGGGTCCTTCGACTGCCATGGAGAGCCCTCCTGCGCCTGCGCCTTTGGTCGAGATGGTAAAGTTGCTGGGTTCACCGGTGACGCCATGGGTCAAGCCCGGTCCGTAGGCTGTGACGTAACCGGAACTGATGGAGTCGACGTGGATTTTGTAGGGGGAGCCTTGGACGTGTTCGCCGTTGAATTTGACAGCTAGCTCGTGGACACCTTCTTCGCGGGGGTCGTATTTGATCGTGACGGTGCCGTCATGGTTGTCTTCGATGATTGGCTTGTCGATGTTACCGCTTGGCATTTTTATTTCGGCTGGAACAAGCAATAGTAATACATTCGATACAGTTATCAGTTTTTTATTACATGAAATTAATTGCTGCAATTCGTTTGCAAGTATTTTAGAATCACTTGGAATGACTGGTCCGCAGTAACTTTTTGTCAAATTATTGTGTTTTGTTTCTCATAGTTCTGGAATTCTGTAGAAGAAACCATCATCTAAAGCCATTGTCTCACGCTTCAACAATGGGGAAGTATCCTATATTGAGATTTTTGTTTCTCCGTGAGATTATGAAAAATTATTTTATGCATATTTTTTATTTTCTCAATAGGCTGTGATTTTACTTTAATCGTTTGGGCTCCTTCACCATTCTGCTGACGTCATTGGTAAACTGCCATGTTCACTCAGAGCTGATACGTGATTTTGCTAGCGCGAATGCGACGCTGCCGTTTCCATTTATGTGTATGGGTAATGAGAAATTTTTTATACGATGTTCATTTGAAGACTTTCCACCCGCAATGTCGTTAAAAAGACGGTACTCAGAAAATCGCCGAGACAGATAAAGAATAATTGTGAGGGGAACATGATCTTACGTAAAAATCACCTTGCTCGTTTGATCCCCTTTGGCCCCACTACCACCCCATAAAAAATTTCAAATGACATTGTAGGTTGTGTGGCACATCATTGGAAAGACTTCTCAATCATCTAAACGCCTGTGTTTCCATTGTTGAAATCAAACAATGAGTTTGCGATATATCAAAGGAAACGTTCGAAAATATCGTCCCTAAAAAGTAGTTCAGAAAATCGCCGAGACACATGAACAGTGACTGTTAAGTGGGTAGTTTAACGTAAAAATGATTTAGACCTGAACTGTTGCATTTTTTTGGTTGAAATCAAGAGACTAGACTACAATATTCTAGTTTTTTATTGAAACATCATTGTTGGAGAGTTTTTCCTTATTTTCTCTATCTCCCCACAACTAGTTGCTATATATTACAATTAATACAGTACACGATCCTGTATAATGAATTTCAGTTTATTTTTCCTTGTGATTTTAATCATACTAAAAAAAAATTGACACACATGCCTAACCAAAAAGTACCTATGTATTTTTTAACAAGCAATACAAATGTGTGATTAGGTTTTTGAGTCAAACTGGTAAGAATTACGTCTAACAAATTTGATCAAATCATTGGACTGCGAGACACGGCCTTGATGACGAAAATACTGAAATCCAACATTTTATCACTAGATTTGCATCAGCCATACGAATTACCGCGTTAAAAATAAGTCCAGACCCATTTCCTTCAATCGCACAAAAAATTGCGACAGCTGTCCAAAATGAAGCGCGAAATGAAAAAATGTTTACTATTTCATGAAAAATTACGAACTGTAAAGCGGCTCTTAAGACATCTATCTGCATATATGCGACCGATTCGGATTTGATCACATTACAATCCAATATGTCTGACTTGTTTTTTTTTAAACAAGCAGCTTGGTTATTTCAGAGGTACACTATGTATATTTTTACATATTCAAGTATAACTGATTGGATAAATGAGATATGGTCAAGGCAATTCACAATGAGCCGCACATAACAGCGCGAAACATAATTTTTTCACAATTAGTTGAGCAAGATTCAGAAATATTGTTATCCACAGCTTACTTAAATGAAAAATTATTCGAACTGCAAGGAAATTCATGAATTACAGTTATTGATTTTTGAATTTATACAATTTGTTACTGCACCGAAATTCAAAAATGATGATTTTCTTTCCTTAATGTATGTTCTACATATACAAAGAATACATGTGACTAAAGATTGCAATTGTTTTGACCTGATGAACTCTAATATGTAAATATACAGGGTGTTCCATTTGAAAAAACAAAGTTGCTGGCATGTCCAGAAAAACCGGAAGTCCGCCATATTAGATTGTAATGTGATCAAATCCGAAATGGTTGCTCATTCTGTACCGAATTTCAGATAAAAAGTTACAGGGGTTGCCCAATACCCTGTGTCACCCGGTATTTATATAGTCTGGCTTCTAAAAGATGACCGTAAGAAAGAATGTGATCCCAGAGTACGATATAAATGTTTGCGATCATGAACTCACTGTCAATTTAAAAACGGAAACTCTAGCGCTCGTTGAAAATGGAATTATCAATTCAAAAGTACAGTCAGTCATATCGTTCATGACTTTATGAAATTATAGGTTATGAGAAAAGTGAATTATAGGTTATGAGGAAAGTGAAGAAAATGAAACAGCCGATACCTTGCCGAAGGAAGAACTATCGAACCCTTCCAGAATATATCGTACAATAATCCAAGCAGAACAAACTGCCTCTAGATGAGACCTGTATATAGAGGACCGTTCCAGAGTAAGACTGGTAAGAGTAAGAAATCTCTTCAGCTAGCGATTAGGCGTATGCATGGGCGCAGCTAGGAAAAAATTAAAGGGGGGGGGCGGATAGGACAAAATGTTGAAAACATTCGTGAACCATGAGTTCAACGTAAAAAAATATCAATTGAGAATCACATTCGGCTTATAGAATACAGAAACATAGGAACCATGATATCACCAACTCACAGTTTTCATTATGAAAATGAAAATTGTAGTCTTATCATTTTTTCCGGACATATTGATTCATTCTTCCGTAATTTCATTCTCTACAGAATCACTGTGGAAACGCTCTGAAAGGCATAATCTCGTTAGCCTCGATTCTCCAATGGTCGATAGCAGCCATGTTTTTTACCCTTTTCAGTGTACTGAAAGATCTTTTGATATTACAGATGGTGAGAGGCATTGATAGAAGAAAAAAAATGGCATGAAGCTGGAAAAAATTTACATCCCTTCAATACTTCATGGAATTCCATATCATCATTAAAACTATTGCTACTCTGTCTCCAGTATTGAATTCGTCGATATTTTTCATTCCGGATCCCATGTCAATGTTCTCTTTCACATTTTTGAGGGGTAAACACGATATTGAAAAGTTTGTCCGCGTATCTTAGAAGCAGATTTTCAGAGAAGATATCAGGGATTCCATATATCGAATGAAAAAAGAAATTCTGAAGTGATCTTCTACAGAAGCTCTCTGAATATTTGTTCTATTGACCTGACGTTTTGCTTTACGGATTTGCTTGATATTTTTACTCCAAAATCATCGGCAATTTCCATAGATTTTGTGAAAATACTCCCGCAAAACATTCATTCATTCAATATGAACTTCATCTGTGTGATATACTTATATTTAAGACTTTACAATTTATAAACTTTAATGAATGTAGTTTGTATATTAGGATGCCCTATTTGAATAAATGATTATTATTATTATTCATTTGCACTGTTGCCAATTCGATTTTGAAACGATGAAGCTCATATATCCTATAAACGTGTCTTTTATTGATAACAATTATGATCGAAATCCTCAAAGTGCATTTCTAGGGTAGGGGGCCGTTCGCCAAAATGGGAAGATCAAAGACATGCATTGCAACTCAGAAACGCAGAACTTTGCACGGAAGAACGTACAGCGGGTATTCAGCATTCATATCATCAACTGAGACCGTCCATAAAACACTTATTTTACCTTTGTGTGATTGTACATAAAAACAGGACAGGAAGGTAATAGGCGTGAAATCGACTCCGAATCCTTTTCCACCAATGGGAATCGATGGTATTCTTCCGTAAACTATGGGCTTCTCTTCGCGGTCGGTTACTGAATGAGTTATGGTTTTCAAAAAGTCATCGATATAAAGGGTAGTTACATCAAGCCATGTAGCTTCGGGTACTTTCGGAATATTTATCCAAGAAAACATTGCCTAAACACAATTTTGAGCACACATAGCCGAGAAACTTATTTGTCTTTCGAATTTTCAGCTTTCAGATTATTTTCGTGTAAGTCATTTTAAGGGTGACAAAACGACAACGATTTTAAAAGTGTCAAACTATTTCAATAACACATTCATTCATTCAGAACGAGCCTGTTATTAAAGAGATTGAAAGATTGAATGCTATTTTTAAGTTAACGAGGATATGCATTTGAAAATATGACAGCTCTATTCCTCCAGAAAACACAGAATGAATGATAGATTCATTCCTTCATTACACATAAAATTAGGACGTGAAAATGTCTCATGTGATTTTCGAAAACTGAAATGATGATCATCGGAAAACCGAATGTCTTGGTGCAGTGCCATTTCCTGAAGCTCATTAGATTTCGTGATTTGAATATTAATTCATGTCAAATGGTGAAACATAAACGACTGAAGTGTTTATGTTTTCATTTCTGGAAATAAACTTCATTTTGCAATATGATTATTTTTATATGCGATGTTTTTCGGAAACAAACATGTTTTTATTCACATTACCCAAACGAATACATATTTTATTTTTTCATTGGCTGAACTTTATGAACCAACAGTATTATACTAACAAACAACACTACTGGGAACTATTTTATGGAACTGTATTGACGAAAACTAACTTCTAATACCATGGAGGGGACTCCCACACTATCATATGGGGGATTGGACCCATATGATGTCTATAAAAGATTTCAACCACCTCGGCGAAAAAAAAAAAAAAACTTCTAATGAATATGTATTATTCATCATTAGAAATAAAACTTATTTGTTAAACTTCCTCAATAATTTCTGGAGTAACAACGGCAGGAGACTTGGAATCATAGTAGTTTACATTAAAATTTAGTATTGAAAAAAACCAATTATACCAAAACCAGAAATATTAAGTTTTCTAAAGAATCAGGCACAGTAAACAACATGAAATGTTATTATTCAGTAAAATGATTCTCATGGGAAGCAAAGTGTTGATTATTGCATCAGGATTTCATATGAAGAAACTGATAATCGCAGAATCTTCTTTCAGTTGAATTGTAATTAGATAGTTAATTGTTACTGACATTATCGTTTTCTGTTGTTATCAATCGAACATATTAAACATATTAAATTTTTGTTCCTAAGTATATGGACCCGTATACAAAATCCGCATGAAAAACTGCATTTGAATTAGTTATACTGTGGAACTGACGATTCATTATTGAGTGATGATGACAATAAAAAAAAAAACAAATTCATCAAAACACTTCGAAAATCACTTTCTTAAGAATCCATAAGACTTGCACCAGATCATTATTTTTGTCACCAATTCAATGAACCACGAAGATCTGCTAACTGAAAATGGTCATGAGATTGAGAAAAGGCTTACGACTTAGATGTTCTCGAAAATTGTGCAAAAGCAGAAGAAAGAAAAATTAGTTTCGAGGAGACGCAAAAATGTTCACTGAAACATTTTGAGGTGCCTGCGATGACCCGCGCGAAATGATACCCAGGCAAGACTGATTCCAGACATCGATGAAAATCTTAAGGAAAGGTGTCACTGTCGAAAGTCAAAATTTAATAAACTGGGAATCTGGACAGCTGTGCAAAAGCATAAGCAAGATGGATAATATTTGACATCTAAAAATATCAAAATATGTTTTGATGTAAAAATTAGGTTGCGACTACCAGGCTTTTTATTTTAGATATAAATAATTTAGGAGGATTCTGAATTTGCCGGTGCATTTGTCGGTACACGTATTCGTCACGCTCAACACCCCGAAAAAAACTGCATTGTACACCGAGAGAAATATCTATTAGCAGTTATAACCTTCAGAAGATTTCTGAATTGAATAGGCGCCAGCATAGTTCCCTTTTCACTGAAATCTAGTCCATCATTTAAAAAAAAAATCATTTAACTGTGAAACAACTCTTATATGAGAACGAAATGACGCTCATATAGGGGGTCAAATAATTAGCGTTTCAATATTAAATAGTGATATTATAAAAACGTCACGCTCAACACCACGAAAAAAACTGCATTGTACACCGTGAAAAATATCCATTAGCAGTTATACGTATAACCTTCAAAAGATTTCTGAATTGAATAGGCGCCAGGCATAGTTCCCTTTTCACTGTAATCAAGACAACATTTCAAAAAAAAATCGAACGAAATGACGCTCATATAAGGGTCAAATGATTAGCATTTCAATATTGAATAGTGATATTATAAAAATAAAATGATACTCATATCAATATAGTTTGCTTTCAATTTAACAGTTAAATGATTGGCGTTTCAGTATTAGGGTGATTATTTTGTTTCCAGAAATGAAATGGATTGAAGATCGTCGAGAAATATTGAAGACATATCTACTTAGTAAAAATAATTACCCCCAAGTACAGTTTTTTATTGATACTGCAGGGCATTGAAGCACAGTTGAGAGAATATTACATCTCAACTGTGATTGAAGTGCATCACAAGCGCGAGATAGTCAGTACACAATATCTCAATTTGCCTACGATGAAAATGCTTCCAATTTGGAGTATTTGTTTTTCTTGTTACTACTTTGGATTATTAGTTCATAGTTGCCAAAAATTTACACGGTGGCGTCAGTAAATAAGGGTTCACGAATTACGAAACGAAAATGAAAACCCTTTATTTCTTCTGATGAATTTTTGGCTAGAATTCTTGTGAATTTTGATGTAGCAAATAAAATTTTACGAATCAAATAAATACATATAGTTCTAGGATGTTTTTGAATAGAGACTTGTTTAACTGGATTTTTCTCGGTGTACTCATTTTCGCATCCTCATCACGAATGTGGACTCTTCACACTGCGTGTAGGGAAAATGGGAATTTGGCCAATAAAAACTACCACACCTTGACAATAATTATTTCAAAATTTCAATTTCGACACTGTATTTGATTTGTGTTTGACCTGAGTTGATCTCTGCCTAAGCAATCTTAATATTTTGAAACTAAGATCACCCAGTTAGCGTAGACGTAAAAATATAAATGTAACATTCTGTAACATAGTACCATACAATTTTGATAGTCGAAAGATGTTTCATCTGCTGATGCTGATCAGTAAAATGACTAACGATGAAATTTATTTGCAGAAATATAATTATCTGAATATTGTGCGGTTGAAAAATAGTCTAGCGCCTAGCATCAAATTGTGCGATTTGTTATTTCAACTTTAACGTTTGACACGGGCGATTTAACTTTAAGCTTCAAATGACATAAGGTCTTAGCAATCAATTAGCGTTTATCGCAGTTCTAATCAGTTTTTCTGAATAACACAGTGATACATGAATTGAACAAGTCGTTTTTGGCTGGCAAGTGCATTCCTAGTACATTAATAAAACAATATTTACGTAGCAATCTCATGAGCATACTGCCAAAAAATTAAACTGATACCTATCAATTAAAAGAATAATAATTCTCCGGTGGAATATTTACCTTCATGGAAATAAGAGTAATGTTATGATCAATTCTCATCAGCACTATTGATTTATTAGGCAACCAAATAAATTGAGTTTGAATCGAAAATATGGAAAATATGGATATCGACAACGTTGCTTTTTGGACGTTCTGTTCCGTTTTTTCAATACAAATAGGAAATGTTTAGCAAATGGTTTTCAGCGGAGCTGAGCCTCTTGAAATAGTAAATATTTATTCATGATTTTTGTTTCACCACGGATGTCATGAGAATTTGAACATCGTAAAATTCTTCTAATATCTTGCATTTGTAAAGGATTTATAATTCATCTTATTTGAGATTGGCGGGATAGTGCTATGATAAGGCTCTCGAATTAATCAGATTATTGGTGACTCGATTTTTGGCAGACCAGAGAATGATTATTAATAAAATTAGTTCTAAAATTTCCGTAGTCTCGGCCGGATATGATTTCATACGATTCACAGTTGAGTTCCGTTTGATAGTGCTGCTAATTAGGTGGCGCATGGTGTCAGTAATAAGGCCCACACATGGCACACGTGAGATTGATAGTCATTTGGTGTGTACAGGGTGGGCCAAATTGGACAATTTCGAAGGGAAAGCCTTATTCTCGAACTAGATGGAAGAAAACTGATGTTGGTGCCTGAAGGTCGATTCTCATGGAAAACTCAATGATGAAAACTGCATATCGATATCTCATAAACATCATAAACATGACTGCAAAACACTGAGTTTGTGATAAAAATTGTTCCCAAAGCACTAAAATTGGCCTCTTCCTCCATCTAGTTTACGAATATATTTTGTTCTTATCAAAAAATATGAGTTCTATTCTGAAACTATAGGTATACGGTGACTGATGCCAGTGCCTGAGGATCAATTTTACACAATGCTTCAATGTTTTTATGAAAACGAAGAATTTTCGACAACAAAAAAAGAGTTTTAGCCACTTTCAAAATTCACATTTTCGAAAAACACCTTGTAACTCTGAAATGAAGATAGATATCGATATGCAGTTTTCACCATTGAGTTTGTCATTGAATTGATCAACAGGTTACCGAAATCAGTTTTTTTTATCTAGTACGGGAATAGGATTTTTCCTTTAAAAGTGCCCAATTTGGTTCACCCTGTACACACACCCTCCCTCATCAACAAAAGTAGATTATACTACTTATTTCAGAATGTTGGAATACCAAGAATGAACATAATACGACACTATTGGTTTTCGTCACCAATCAGTAATTACTGAAAATAGGGGTTCGTTTTCGTGCAATCCAAAATATAAAGAATTATTCACCGTTCAATGGGATCTGGACCCATGTTTTCAGGTTACACCCTTGAGAGACTTCTCGTTCAGTTTTGAAACCTATTCCTATACATATAATATCATCAATTGATCGCATTCATGCACTTACTTAGATGAATAACTAATATACAACATCGATATCCACTTCCAATTTCTAAGAATAAATATTCACTCTGACAGACTATATATTTTCAAAGAGTAGTTTTATATTTGTAACAATTTTTTTATTGGTTGTATGTATTTCGAATAATAATTGATGAATACTTATATAACACCCGTTCAGAATATTCAACATATCATGAATCACTCTTGAAAAAATGAAGATTGAGTAAAATTAAACTGAATTCCAACTTATAGACCTATATTTCATGTCATCTGAAGTTATGTGACAGATACCAACATAAAAAAGAACCGAGTGTTTCTATTAGGAATGCCAATAAATATAAAGATCCCCTAAGCCGGCATCCTGAAATTAAATGTACATCATTCAAAAAGTATTTCAGCATCAAATTCATTCTTGGCGCCATTTTGATCATAACATAATCCCAATCTACTTCATTATCTTATTCATCTACTATAAATATTTTTATTGAAGTGGACTATTACAGCTGGATCTCATCATGTTAGGAAAATATTTTGAGACCTCCAGAGATAGCTTTATAGCTTAAACTCAGAAGAAGTTATTTGATGTAGACTTAGTAGTAGTAGTAGTAGTAGTAGCAGGAGTAGTATAGTAACTATCTTTGTATTTCATAAGAAAAATGAAAGAAAACAACACAAAGTCAACTCCAGGTCAACGACAAGCGAAAAGGTTCATCAACCATTCGCAGAACCGAGCCAAAGAGCTACTCAGCCTCAGCAAACCAGAGCTAAAACTTATGACAGGCTTTCTCACAGGACACGGCCCTCTGAGGTACCACCTCAAAGAGATGGGCCTGGCGGAGACTGACACTTATCGCTATTGTAACGATGCGACCGAAACCGCGGAACACATACTTTGCTCATGTGAAGTATTAGCCCGCCAAAGGCTGAACCACCTAGGACAGGTCTATCTCACCCCTGCTGAGGTGGAAAATTCGACCGTCAGGAAAATTGTAGGCTTCATCAGAAGTCTAGGGTTAGAGGACCAAAACTAGATAGGGGTAATCACAATAAATCTTCTAGGTCGCAGTGATCGAGAGGTCTCCTAGCCTATACGACCCTCGATACGACCCATCTACAATCTACACAAAGTCGGTCGACCACACTTTGTGTTTTCTTTCTTTTTTTTTTTGAAATAACATTGGACCACTTTGAGATATGGATGATTTTCATGATTTATCATTGTATTTATTACTGACTTACCTGTTACGTTTCCTCCTGTACTCAAAAGAGGGATATTACTCAACTGGACTGGTCTGAAAATCTGTTGCTTGGTTTGTGTTTTGGTTACTCTTTCCTGTACTTCGCTCTGGGTTACACTGGTCTTCTCGGCCTAGGAACAAAAAATTTAATTTTGAAAAACAAAAAACCAAATGAAATGACTCGTCTGATCCTATAATTAGGCTTCTGATCTTAATTTTTAAAAATTTCAACTGTAACGTCAGTGATTGTCAACTTTCCATTGTCAAATGGTACTACCTATACAGGGTGTTACAAAATTCAGTATCTAGAATTCAGGGACTAATTTTTCAGGTCAAAATACGACTTTTTCATCCTATAGACCGTTGAAGTTTCAAGATTTTATTAATTTTCAACAACTTCTATAAAAAATCAAGGTTCGTTCGCTTTCTTATCCTTCAGGTTATGTTTGGAAACTTGTAATTTAGATCACAAAGAAAATATGTAGCATTTTTTGTTGAAATTTTGGTAATAGGTTCCTCCCTTTTGTTGAAAATACTAATTAAATCTAGCGAATTGAAAAAAAATATTTTTTTTTCGATAATGGGCACAAACGAAACAAAAAACTTATTTTGTATTTTAATATCTACCAGTAGCGCACCACAAAAAAGTTTATGAAGCGAAAAGGTGCTTGACCCTTCGAAAAAATATATCTATATATCTTGATTTTCACAATCACCCGATATACTGTATAATGTAAACTCGTTATTTATACCATTTCAGAATGTCAATTCAAAATTTCAGAGGATTTATATTTTTCATGCTCTCCTTTTGGATGTTCAACCGATATAATTCCTAGAAGATCATCATTTAAAGCCATTTAAAGATTTTTAAAATCTACAGGATGATACGTTTTTGTGGGGAGAGGCTTCCTTATTCCCCCCAAACTTTTCCGTAGTACGCCTCTGGCATCTTTCAGTGATCAAATTGTGGATCGTTCAATTCAGAAGCTTTTTTTGGTCTTCAATTTTTTTCGAGAAACAAACCGTTTTTGAGATAAATAAGCATATACGTTCTAAAACATGTTAATTTTGCCTATGTTTCGCTTAAATTTTATTCATCTGAAAAAAAAAACCTTGACTTTCTACCCTCTGTATCCCCGTTACTGATCCAGATTGGACTCGTGATTGCAATTTTAGTGACTACATTTCATTGCACTTTCATCGAAAATAGAATGTTAGCGAAACATAGGCAAAATTAACATGTTTTAGAACGTATATGCTTATTTATCTCAAAAACGGTTTTTTTCTCGAAAAAAATGGAGCTTAAAATCCTCTAAATTGAACGATCCACACAAATGGCTTGAAATGATGATCTTCTGAGAAGTATTGACCACACCAAATTTCAAAGCGATATCTTGAAAGGTAAGCGAGATATTTCAATTAATAGAAAAAAATAATTTAACTTTGACCCCCTGTAGCTCCGCTACTAAACGAGATCCGACTAATGTTTATATAAACTTTTTTGATTGAAATGATGAGATCTATCTCCCATTTCAGTTTGTGCCTCAAAACCGGAATCACCCTGTATATCCATTTTCACATGTTCATAATTTATCTGAGAATATTCCTTTTCAATACTTTCACCCAATCAAAGGTTTCAGATTTGAACGATAGATGTTATTTTTTGAGACTTTCAATCGCAGATTCGTGATTAGGTTTTCTCAATTCAAAATTTCTTTCTACGTCCTGTAGGATGAATATATCAATTCGTCATACATCCAAAAATTTGAAATTAATTTGATGAGAAAACCCAATTGATATGCGATGTCATGAAATATGGCCAGTGATATTTCAAACATTGTATTACATACATTGATTATTTCTCTGCAACTTTTTTATGGTACACCTGTGGTAATTTCATTTCACACCAAATTAAAGTGAACTTCAAAATAGACGGGTATAACGATGTAGACAGCGTCGGTACGCAATAATTAAATTTATGAAAATGCATCTATGATGCTCTGCGTACAGGAAGTTTTACCTAAAAACACCAATAAGCTCGCGATATGAATAGAATTTTGGTTTGATTATTCAATGTTGTTGACGAAAGTAAATTTACCGTCCAGCATTTCTATGTCTATTATAAAACTGATGCAGATGATGGTACTCCTGTTAAATCAGATTATATCCAAGTAATCAGTGGGAATTCTGTTGGCAATAATACTATTGCCAACATTTTGGAGTGTATTGTTGTCAAAATGAACGAACAAAGTTACAAATTTTCTTTGATTGCCAGGAAATTGCCGGAAAAAGGGTATTTCGGCGAATTACTATGCACCTGGAGGAGAATAAAACTTTTAGTATCATCTGCAAAATCACTGACATGTTGATTGAAATGAATATCGAATGGATTAAAATACTCCATATGGCATTTCTACAATTATTTTTTCCTCAAAAGTCGTCAGTATTTTCGAACAAGTGGCAATAATGTGATATCAGATTTCCAAAAACCAAAAACTAATGAAAAGCTTTATTTTATTTATTATAGATTGTTAGTACGAATCCTACTGGAACTATAACAGTTTTTTATAGTACGCCATTTAGATTTCTCATCGCTTAACTATTAAACAATTCTTGTTTGAAAGTTGGCTTGACGGAACACCTTGTATATGACTGATGGCGTTTAGACGTCGAGTTATAAAAACTAGGAAAGATGTAGAGCAAACAGGTGCATAGTCATAAATAAACATACAGCTAATTCGATCTGTACTGGGATACTCAGCATATTACACGTAATAATAAATTAAAATAGTTGAAAAATTGCGCAACTTATGAAAAAGAAAAACAATGAGTATATCTAGTTATTTGCTAAAATTACACGAAATCTTTTTTGAAATGGCGGTTTGGCTTTATCAACTTGTCAAAAAACATATATGTATATTATATGTATAGAATTATGTTTTGAATTGTTGAAAAGTAAACTGAATTCAAGATCTGTCGTTAATTTAGTGAAATAGGTACATATTCTCGGAATTTGAGCTTTTGTCACCAACTCTTGAAATAACAAAAGTGAATATTTTTTTATTTTTTTTATTCATTATTTTTCAATTGCATTTCCTCGTTGGACCCAGCACTGGATCCAACGCCCCATAAGTCGAAACTTGTGCGGGGTTAGGAAAGCATACATTTACAAACATCCATGGCCTAACTGGGGTTCGAACCCATGCCTCGGTTGGATGGGACATTGAATTTTCGTCAAGGTAGGTATGTAATTTTAAAAATTTTCAGATTTTCTCGATGGAAAACTTCTAGAACATTCGCATATCAAAGATGTAAACTACGAATATCAATTTCACAAAGTTGGCATGTCAACGAGTTTCCAAAGGATGAATGGAAAATAAATACTAAATATTTTGACGAGTTGATGAGTGATTGCTTATGTTAACATATTCGTGCAGTTCATGAAGTTGTTATTTCAATCAACGGGGCTTTTCAAGCTACTAACTTTTTTGCATTATGTACAGGGTTATGCATCGATAAGGCCCATCTCTATATTATAACGTTGTTTTTTCATAATGAAAAAAAAAACAATATGTGGAAGTTAAAAGCCGCAATGAGGCCTTCCCAAAAGCCTCATCAGAAGTTTCATGGGGTGATCCCTAAAAGCGTGAAAAAACAGGAATAATTTTTTTCACCCTGTTTTTTATATATTTTTTGGTATCTGTGAGTTTTTGTGATCGAAATAAAATATATATAGGGCGATATCTTCTATTTTCACTTTTTCATCACCACTCTTTTGAGGCTAGAAAAATATAATTTTTGTCTGATTAATTGGTGATGGCTGATTACTCGATCAATTTGGAAATATATTCGATAATGATGCAAGTAAATATTCCCTCATTTAAGGCTAACACGATATTATGTTGAGGCAAGCCAACACACAAAAATTGTTCTTCTGGGGTCAAAAAAGTGGTGATAATGAAGTAAAAATAAAAGATATCATACTGTATACAGGCTGATTCACAGTGGATGGCACATTAGACGTTTCTTGAGAACGCAACGTAGGATTTATGGTGAAAATTTGGGTTTTTCAGTTAATTAGTTGTGTTCTATCGACCTGAAATATTCTCAATACTGCGACGTTGCCGCTTATATTGAAAAGTAGCAACATCTTTGATTTTTTTTATATTTTTATGTCCCTATCTCACCATTTCATGTACCATCAATTGATATTTAATTGAAATAGATACAGGGTGGTTGAAAATCTTGATTCTGAATCGCCCTGTACCTTTTTCTGTTAAATATCAATTGATAGTTAATAAAAAGTTGAGATAGGGACATGGAAACCGTTTTGACCAATGAATAGTTTTGACACAAAAATCTCGAAGTTGACAAAACCTCGATTTTTCACACCCGGCCTATATCTCTGTAATTGTCACTTCTAGACCCAAGTGTTCTATGTCAATGAAATCAGCTCTTCAGGGAGAATCTGAAAATGGAATAATATACAGGGTGTCCCATTTAAGAAATCAAAGTTGTTGCTACTTTTCAATATAAGCGGCAACGTCGCAGCGCTGAGAATATTTTAGATCGATAGAGCACAACTAATTATCCAAGGCATCAAATTCTCAGAATAATTGCAAGTCACGTTCTCCACCGTGAATCAGCCTGTATATAAATATTTTTTTTCCTGTGATCACAAAAAATCACATATGCCGAAAAAATATAAAAAACAGGGTGTTCCATTTAAAACAATAGAATGTGTGGCTTGTCACGCTTTCAAGGATCACCCTGTGGAACTTTTGATAAGAGCTGATGTGGATAGGCTTGATTTTTGCATTCAACTTCCGCATATTGACTTTTTTCTCGATAATAAAACAAAATAAATATATGGGTGGACCTTTTCGATGGATAACCCTGTACATGGCTGTTTATAGAAAATATTGATACAAATTCCGAACTTGAGTATTGATCATATTCCAATTGTAAATGATCAGCCATTTTGTGCTACTTTCAAATTGAGTGTCAATTGTCAAATGCATTGTCTTTTCACAATGTCATTTAGAATGAGTTAACACAAGCGAAGGGCCCTAAAAGTCTGCCTCATTTTATTTTCAATAAATAAACATTCAGTAGTTCTTAATCTAATAGAAAACAGACCAAATCATTAGGAAGTTCAGTTTTGAGAAGAACTTCCGAGTAAAGCTGAGCAACAACCTCGAATGGAGCATCCATCGAATCACTGGGAAGAAACACCATTACTTGGTATACGGACGGGTCTAAAACACCCGAGGGAGCTGGAGCAGGAGTTTTTGGGCCTCGCACCAAATACTTCGAATCCATGGGACAATTCCCCAGTATTTTTCAAGCGGAAATACACCCCATAAGAAGATGCATCCAGTTCAACCTAGACGGGAAATACCGGAAGTAGGACATCGCGATTTCATCCGATAGCCAAGCAGCCATCAAAGCGTTGACCTCCTTACATCAACTCGAAGATGGTATGGGAATGCCTAAGCAAATTGAATGAGCTAGGCAGCAACAATAAAGTGATCCTCCTCTGGGTGCCAGGGCATATTGGAGTGGAAGGGAATGAACAAGCAGACACTCTGGCACGACAAGGGGCTTCAACGCCACTGATCGGACCAGAGCCTTGGAAATTCCTACTTCCAAGGAGAACTTGAGAAGACGGAAGGAGCCTGGAGAGCCAGACAATGGAGAAGACTTCCAGGACTACGGCAAGCTAAAGATCTCCTTGGAAATTTCAACCGAGAAAGATCTAAGACACTGATAAACCTCAGCAAAGGTAGTCTCAAAGCAATAACGGGAAGGAAGCTAGGCTTACAGGAGGACGGCACCTGCAGATTCTGTAAGGAAGAACCAGAAACACCCCATCACATACTGATGGAGTGTGACGCTGTACATCACAAAAGATTGAACATACTGGGGACACACCAGCTGACTGTGGAAGAAATACCACAGCTAGACCCCATCAAAATCCTCAAATTCCTGAAGGAATTGCATCTCGAGGGGCTGCGATGAACAAGAAATCCTTGATATGGCAGAAGCAGATGGGGCACAATAGATCTAATTAGGTCGCAGCGCATCTGTCACCATCCAACCTACCAATACCAATACAATAATCTAATAGAAATCAAATGATTTTGATAGACACAATACGAAATGGAAATACCTAATCAATGAAAATATGGTCAAATGGGTCGTCATGATTTGTCAATCTATTTAGTAATGTTTGAATGAACTTCTCAATTGGCGGAGAGAATTTTTATTACTGTTTCTAAATATATTTCAGATGTTACTTCGAAGTTGATATATTTTACGAGATTCGGATAACATGCAAATTATTTAGTTCATTTTATATATTTTTATGCGAAAACGTATTTTTTGCCACGAATTTGAAATTTGTGGGACACATGTCTCGTAAATGTTGTACTAGGAAGTTCAAATTGAAACGATGAAAAGTTTATTATAGGAGTCCTTAACTTGATCTCACGAAGATTTTTAGTCATTCCAGTGTTTTTATAGGCAGCTTGCTTTCAATATTTTAGAGGCTTATGATTCGTTCGATAACATTTTTAGAGGAATAGGAATAATATTGATATAATTTTATTTTTAGTTACTACATTGAGATCTCTGATTTCGTGAATATGATGAAAAATGTGTAAATATTTGCCCACCAGAAAAATATTGAACATTCAGTTTTTGAAAATCTCTATGAAAGCTTGGGAGAGCTAAATATAAATAAATGATTTCAAGAAAACTCAATTTTGAATGTGGAAAAAGTGAAAGATTTGAAAAGGTATAAAATTAACTACGTTTTTGACGTTGAAATCGATAAATACAAATCCATAGCCGCAGCTACTGTGGAGTATCTCCTTTTGTTGGCCATTCAATAATGGAATATCATTTTAATTGAGAAGAAACTACAACAAATAGGAAGTTCAATTTTTCTCCCATTTGATCTAAATTGGAGATAAATTTCCTATAAGTAAACTTTTATCGGTATGAAGTTTGCTTCTGTTGTATTAAAAAGTCGATGATTTCAGGATTCCACATAGATTTATATTTTACAAATTCCTCTTACATTATGTTGAAGTGAAAAGTTTCTTTCAACTAATGTTCTAAATTGCATTATATTTGATATACATTTGGAGAATTGGAGGGAATGACTTTCTGACAAAATATTTTCGTCACTTACGTTGATCAGAGGTATATCTAATATTATTTCTAGATCGTAATAACATGTGGAAGTGCATCATGTTTCAACTGTGCCTTTATTTTAAAAATAAACTCTGAAAATATCTAAAAATTGCAGGTTTGATACCAGATTATTAGTTTTATGATTAATTTGGATAACTTAGATAAAAACACAATAACTCACGTATCACAGTTATTTGAGTCTGGAGACACAGTGACGAAATCACTTTTTTGAGTGGAAACGAACCTTCTAAAAACTACTATACGAAAGTGTTCACAAGACTGAAGACAATTAAATTTCATGGGAGATGAAAATTTTATATTTGGTGGGTGCAGGAAAAGAATGAGACATAATGTTCGGCCGTTTTCGATTGAACTCGCTGGAATATAATTCTGTCAAAAAACAAAGGAAATCCGATATACTAAAGCTGACTAAAGCTATTCGAAATTGGTGTAGTCAATTTTTTCTCGGAAGTCGATGTGGAATCGAAAAATGCATGCAACATGGAGGAAGAAAATCTATTTTCATTCCTTAAATTTCATTCGATAAATAAATTACAGTAATCTGAATTATGGTAAGGGGGTGGAGCATGCTAGTAGACTGTTGGAGGGGATCTGCTGGATCTAGCGACACAATTTTCTAGCCGAATTCTTCGCATTTCATCCTGTTTATTCAACATTCTCGGATCCAACTTTCGCTATAAAACTGGCGGACAAGAAATCTATTTTCAGCACTGCTGCCGCCGTCAACACTGCGTTGACATAAATAAAGAACAAGGCGAACCTCTGGATCTAATCTATTAACTTTAGTAGACAGAATTCAAAATACTCCAGTAACTACAATAAGAATTTCATTTTGAGTAAATTTGTCGGTATTCCATTCATCAGAGGAGACAGAGCATAGTCTCTAGTAACAAACATTTACTAAATCAAACTAAGCTGACGCACAATTCTTTTAGAATTCATCCTATTTGAACCGACTCCGTTTCACTTTAGACTGTTTGTAGGTTAATCGAGCAGGTAAAATATTCATTTCTTCAAATTTGTAGAATTCTATCAAAAAAAGTTCAAAATATTATTTATTCAGTCAGTGTCACTCGGGTCCTATTAAATTGAGAAAAAAAACACTACAACTTCAAAAAATGTACAGGGTGTTTATATCTCAGTTAGTATTAGTCCTACAGAAACGTTCAAATGAGCAAATGTAAAGTATTTTAATGGGCATTCAGAATCCACTACTAGAAAATCCAAAAGAGCATCGTTAACATAAAAATTTTCATGAACTGGAATTTTTCTAATGGAACACCCTGTATTTCATTTTTCTGAACGGTATATAGCTCTTTCTTCTGATTTCAAATATATGTTATCTCAGCCTGTTTTCGGAAGATATGGATTCTAAGGCGTCTGTCATCTGGCGTTCAACACTTGCCTTAAAAATCTATATGTTTCAAAAGCTGACCGAAGATAACCTCAATAAAGAATATACAGTGTGTCTGACTTCTACTAGAAACACCCCTGTATCTTAAGTAATCATTGGCTAAGGATCCTGGAATTTGTTTTTCCAGAAAATGTTGTTAGGAGTCAAAATAGGTTGAAAATCCCATCGGATTCGGAATCAATTCCGTAACTATTCATATATTTCCTGAACATTTTTCAGTTCTGAAAAATTCATTTTTGCGTCACTTTTCGTGGAAACACCCCCGTATGGTAGTATGAAGAAAAGCGTTACCGATAATACTGTCTCATAATATGGAAAGTAAGTGAATTGGACATCCTGTTTTCGAATCCGAAGTGATGTTCAACCTAGGTATCTCTTGATATTATTTAAAGGACATGCGTGTAGTTCCACAGCTGTTGGCGAGCAGTGTGTATATCACTGATGATGATCTTACTGATTCATAGAGTATATTTTTGGTATATCTGTCGCTTCAGCAAATTTGAGGTTCCTAACCCAACGATTACGTAAGATACGGGGGTTTTTCCATGAAGAGTGAGACACACTGTATATTTGAAATCAGAAGATATAGCTCTACCGTTCAAAAAAAATGTAATACAGGGTGTTCCATTTAAAAAATACAAGTTCATGTGAAAATTTCAGATTTATGATCCTTTTTGGCATTTTCTAGTACTAGATTCTGAATGCTTCACTTTTGCCAATTTGAACATTTCTGTAGGACCAATATTAACTGAGATAGCTAAACAATCACCCTACCCTGTAGAGAAACATGAGGAAATATGAATATTGAGAAAGAAGTTGGTACCACACTGCAAAACTGCTCGAACAATCGGAATTTTTGACCATTTTGGTATCAATTTGGAGGATTAAAATTGAAAGAGCAAACATATATAACTGAAAAATTTTATGGACATGACATCTCCTTTGGTTGGATTGAATTAGGTCAACAGTATCTAGGATTCTTGCAAAATGAAATGTGAAGCGATTTTAAGAATTTACATGCCTATTTACCTACACTATAATATAATATTTCCCCAATGCAGAGATCAGTTTTTCCATATGGCTATATTAGATAATATCAATAGGTTCAAAGAAGAAACACTCACCAAGCAGGTGTAGAAACCACCAGGAACTGTTTGACCTCCGAACTTGATGTTGATGGTATATTCACCAGCATCTTCGACCGTATAAAATATGCTGACAGTATTGTCTCCGTTATCGACAATATTGATGTCCAAATCACTAAAAAAGTAAGAATTGTATAACTTCGAGAAGGCATTGTTTCCTCTGATTTTTCCTCACCCTCCATCAACTGACTTAATTTTGCAGGTGACAGCACCATTTCCTGCATTTTCTGTGTTAACTGTTATGCGACATGGCTGTCCACTGCACAGATTCTTCTCTAGTCCTTCCACTATTTTACATTTCTCAGCCTGAAAATTAGTGATTAGAAAGGTTTTTCTATCAAGTTCGAGCCATCAAGAAACCAAATTGAGATACTTACGTTTCCAGTAGCATAAGTCTGGATAGAAATGGGAGTCTTCGGAACCTCTTTTCCCCCATATTTAGCGTCAAGCTTATACCTCCCGCAGTCATCAGGAACGAAAGTGGCATTGAAAGTACCATCGCAATTATCCTTCAAATTGACTGGCCGTGGCGAACCATCAGGGCCGGTAACTTTGACTTCTAGATCTCCGAAACCAGCCTCATTCGTGTCGATTTTAACTGTCGTTGGCATCGACGCTGGTATGCCTTTTTCGTATACAGCCGGGCCACTGAATTTCACGTTTTCAGGTTCCACTAGTGGTTTAACTCTCAGGGGAAATGGACTGTTAGGGATATCCCTTTTATTGTACAAGATGTGGGTTTGTAGATTAGCGCCCTCATTCGGTGGGACGTAAGTGACATCGAAAGTGCCATCGCCGTTATCCACGATCTCTGGTCTTTTAGGCAAAGGTTTCGAATCAGAGGTAATGTTCACCTCTACTGGAGCTGGCCCTGCTTTCGAAGCATCGATGACGAATTTGGTGGGCACCCCCGTTCGACAATTGGAAGTCTCTAAGCCTGGTCCGTAGGCTTTGACGAGATTCTCGTCGACGTCTGGTCCTACCATCACTTTGAATGGCGACCCAGGTATGTGATTGTCGGCAAATCTGATGGCCACATCGTATTCTCCTGGTTCGGTAGGAACGTACTCCACAGAGCACGATCCGTCTCTGTTATCCTTGCAAGTCATTTTGGCCTCGGAAGGCCCTTCTATCGCCAGGGACAACCCCCCAGTTCCGGCTTCCTTGGTTTCGACTGTGAAGAGATTTGGTTTGTGCAGTACCCCTTTTTGTAGTCCTGGACCATAAGCGCTGCATTTTTTGGCGTCACAGCCTCTCCTGACGTTGACTATGAAGGGAGATCCAGGGACAGGAACATTGTCGTAGAGTATATCTATGGTGTGTTTTCCTTCCTCGAAGGGTGTGTAACTGACTTTGTAAGTTCCGTCGAGTAAGGGGGTGATTACTTTTTCGGTCTGTGATCCGGATGGGTTCGTGATAGTGCAGGTTACTTTGCTGTCTTCGGAAGACTTTGGTATCCCTCTCGTATCGACTAAGAAGTCTGTAGGCGAGTCGACATAAACACCTGAAACAAATTTCATTATTTTTTTCTGTCTTTTCGAGTTTATTATGAAAATATCATTTTGTTAATGCCAAACAGGAACAATCTACAAACTTGTAAGTTCAATATATTTTTCTATTGTAATATCAAATTCAATCGTCCAAAACATCAAGCTAACATAAATGCATTATTTTCTACAACAGCGAATTAAAAATTCATAATTATTCGTATTCATGGGTAAAATCATTTTAGATGAGTATATATCAAGTCTTAATCAATTATTCCATGCAAAAATAAATATTCTATAATCATTTTGGGTATTTTTTTCATCTAACAAGGAGTCCTTATGCTGAATAGGAAATGTTGTATTCCAATTTCATGTCGTGCCTACCTTTAACTGGAAATATTAACAAAATTACCATAAATGTTGACCTAAAAGTTATAATCATGACACCCAATATAATATAATTCAATATAAACTGACACTTGGACCTCAGGCTCAGGTGATACTGTAGATGAGATGTTGTTCTCAATCATCAATCTCAATATAGTGAATAGTTGTAGCCAATTCTGCTGATGAGGCTCCTATATTCATTATATGAAAATATAAAGTACAAATGAAAAAAAAACAACCAATCAGGCGGTATAGGTACTTATAACAATAGTTTCCAAATAAAAAATGCACAAGACCGTTCTAGGTACAAGTAACTACTCGAGGTGGATGCCAAATAGAACCAATCTTTGGGTTTGGGGTCTTAACTTCACGAAGGAATCAGTCATTTTTGGTGTCGAAGGACTAAGGACTAAGGATAGAACGTCGATGGCTAGAGAACTTAGTGAATTGAATACGCATATCTCAATGGACTCCATGGGAGTTTCATTAAATATCCATGTCAAGCAACATCAACAAACAAGAAAACCATGCATTTTCGTTATTGTAAAAGCATTAGTCGAAAAAAAACCACACAATTCTGCTTCACACACAAGTTACCATGTAGTTGGATCCCGCTACCGGACACTTTGATCTTGGACATGTCTACCTCAGGTACTATAATCGCCTGAAAGGGACTACCAGGTATATGTTGATCATTAAAAGTAATATTTATGCCATAATCACCAATTTCAGTGGGCAAATAAGCTACGGAGCAAGTCCCGTCACCGTTATCTCTACAGTTGATGGCGGCTTCGCACGGCCCCTCAACTGTCACTCCCAAACCCCCTTGACCGGCCCCTCTGGTATCTATCATGAATTCCGCAGGTCGGTTGACCACTCCTCGATAGAGTCCAGGACCGGAAGCTTTGACCTTGAGCGGGTCGCTGCCCGTCAGACATGTGAGCCTGAAAGGTCGATGGGATATCGGTTCGCCCCCGAACGATATCCCCAAGAGGTATTCGCCCAACTGCGTCGGCGTAAAGTTAACCAAGTACCCTTCGTGGGTCGGTATCACATGTGCTTTGACTTTGCTTCCTGACGGGGTGGTTATCGATATTGCAAATTCGGCTTTTCCAGCGTCCTGGGTTATCACTCGGAATTGCTGCAAGCTGTTCACGGGTGCAGCTGCAGATGAACATTCATATGAAATCACTTCTGATGTACCACAAAGAATAATCGCAGGTAATATCCCGAGACTATCATTTTCTTCATAATTCTATCGAGAGTACCATGTATTTTCATTATTTGATAAGACTATATGAACATCAATAATCTGAATGACTCCCGAAAGTTTTAGCTCTAGGGAGTTATTCTATGATTATTAATGTTCATACGGTCGAATTGAATTGTCTCAAAATACAAGTTACTCGTGATGAATTGAAGGAAATAATCTCCATTTGTCATGGTCGAGTGATATTGAGGAAGATAATTTCATGAACAGTATAAAAATTCTAGTTTATATGAGTTATTCAAATGGATTCATATTACGATTATGTTTGTTGAAGTAACCTTCCTGTATAGTTTTCCATATTAATTTTAACTGTGTACTCCCAATATTCCTCACCGTTCTCCTCACCCTCACCCAATCTTTCAGGATTTGAGCATTCACGAGAGTTGGGGTAGTCGCACAAAATTCATAGTTTTTCTGCTGGCAAAAAAAACATGAATTGTTCCAGATTGACTTTAATCTTCTCGGTATTTTCTAATATTGCTTCACTTACATAATTACAGATTTCCGTAGTGAGAGTTGACCCAAAACGAGACATTTCAATTTTTGAGTGACTGATAGTTATGTCAAAGTTTCACAACCGTAGCACTCTTATGCTGGCGAACAGAATAGCCACTCCATATTGTTTGTTCACGTTAATAGCCGCTGATATCGCATATCATGTGACTTCAATCAAAAAATTTCAGGGGTCCAGCCAGGTGTGAATGAAATAATCGGTCGATATTGATAGATGAACGACTATCGATAACTACATGGACATAATAGAGGGAAGATACGGATACAACTGGACCATTTTGGGCTATTTTGTTATTGAGTTGATCTATATTTCAGTACTTCTCTTGAATGTTACGAACCATTATACAGATTTATGAGGGAGTAGATTGTTCTTCCTGATGGGACTATTATTTGAAATCAGTCTATTTTAGTGATGAATTATGCCCTTCAAAAATTGAGAGTTATGAAAATGTATTGCCCATTCATCATTTCATATTATCTCACTCAGACATATACAACAATCCTAAATTCTGTTGCCAAGAATAAAAATCAACCTTGAAGATATAACTATGATGCAGCTACGGATCATCTATATCTATTGTTCTGTTTTCTCAACAACTCATCAGGAACTCTTATGGACTGAATGACTGCACTAACTGTGCTTTACGCTGAAAAATCTATTGCTATAACCTCTCATAGTAGATTCTCAACATTCGTCTTCCAGGTATGTACATAGAAATTATAAATTCAACTCACTTGGTTCCAGTCCATCGACTTTGATCTTAGAGACATCAACGTTCGGTTGAACTTTGAATTTGATCGGGGTAGTAGGAACCTTTTGACCGCCATATTGTAGGGTAAGAGTGTGTGTGCCGGTATGGATAGTTTCATAGTCGACAGTGTACGTTCTGTCTCCATTGTCTGTTAGTTTTACAGGAATTTCTTCGCGAGTATCTTCATTCACTAAATGGAGGTCTATATCGGCGTCTCCAGCTTCCCTAAAACCAATGAATATTTGATTTTCATACATCGCAGTTCCTCAAGAATGTTTTTGATCTAGGTATTGACAGTTTTCACCCGTATTGAGCAATTACCTGGCATCTATATTGAAGTGAGTAGGAATATTGGTCTTGACGCCATCTCGAATTCCAGGGCCGAAACATTGTACTTTGGAAGCGTCTACTGGTTCGCCAACGTTAACTCTGAACGGAGAATTTTTCACAGCCACTCCACCGTAGTTGACTTGGACGGTATGTCGGTTACCGCTAGTCGGGGTATAGGTACCTTCGATGGTGCCATCAGCCTTTTCTACTAATTTTAAATATACATCATTGCAATTCGCATCGCTAACCTACAAGAAAAATGCCGTCAGGGCGAAGAATCATTTTTTGCGAAGGCATAAGTATACCTTCGAATAGTTGTTATGATGACATGTTGAATTATATAGATAACATATCATTCTCACCTTAACATCTAGAGGCGCAGATCCCGCTTTTCTCGTATCTACAGTAAATTTGGTAGGAATATCCGTTTGGATCCCATTAACTTCCACTCCGGGTCCATAAACATCGACTTTCTCAGGATAATAGTCTGTATTTGGCAAAATTTGAGCAATATACGGGCTACGAGGAATGTCTTCAGTGTCACATAGTATGTGTACCGCGTATTCACCAGGCGCTGTAGGATAGTACTTGACATCTGCTGAACCATCACCATTGTCATGGCATTCAATTTTCGCTTGTGACGGGCCTTGAATGCTGAATCCTAGGGCCCCAGTTTCCCCATTGGTTTCGACGGTAAACAACGCCGGATATCCAACCACACCTCCAACTAAACCCGGTCCATAGGCACGTATTTGGGTTTCCTTGTAGGGCCCAACGTTCACTTCGAACGGCGACTTGTAGATTTCGCTACCTCCAAACTTGATCATGATTATGTACCTGCCTTCTTTGACAGGGTGGTACATTCCGTAGTAGGTGTATTCGTCGATCTTCTGTATGGTGCAGGATTGATGCACCCCCTCTGGACCGATGATCTGTACTTCGGGCACCCCTTCGCCAGCGCCCTCTGTGTGTATTTTGAAGTCGGCCTTGTCTTGGACTCGCACTCCGCTGGGCTGCAAACCTCGACCGCTGGCTTTGACTTTTCTCGCGTCTGACACAGGAGAGACTCTCACCCCATAGGGACTATTTGGAATGGCTTTGCCAGCGAAGAATATATTGATGGAATGTAAACCGAGGACCGGTGAGATGTAGTTGCAGCGCCACGTGTCAGGGGATGTTTGTTGAAGTTTTACTGGTACTGCGCTCTTGTTGCCTGATGGATCTAGGATTATTACTTCAGGAACACCTTGACCTGCATCTGGAAATAAACGAAGAAGTGGATTGATCACAAGAATTGAAATGGATGAACTGTGTGAAACAAAATAATATCGGTATAGCGGTGAAGGGTTATCAAGGTTGCTTTGGTGTGGACCTCAACACCAAAGGAACAATGGAACTTTCTTAAAGGTTGTTCAAAATTTCCTACACTTCCTACACTTGCTATTGTTTTGGTTGTTGAATGTTATGGACAGACCGGAGGTTTTTTTTCAGCAACACCTATATCCGCTTAACAATAAACATAAACACTATCCAACTGAGTTTTCTCATTGTTCTAGATGGTTTAGAGTAGTTTGGTTTTGTTACTGTTTAGATAAACGGCAAACAGCAACAAAATATTCTCTAGTTAACTGCCTCTGTGTTCCTTTGATGGTGTGGATGGAGGTACGTTTATGAACAATATGGAGGACTCACTTTTTGTGGAAATATCGAAGTACGTAGGTTTATTTATATGAACACCATCGGGCATCAAACCGGGTCCATTCGCTGTGACTTTGCCGGCATCTCCCGCAAATCCTTCGACCTTAATGTGGTAGGGACTCTTGGAGGTTTCTCGTCCAGCAAACTTCACGGTTATCGTGTGTGGCCCTTCATACTGCGGTGTGTATGACGCATTGTAGGTGAGATTCTTGTCATTGTTGAATTTGACGTCGGCGAGTTCTTTTTGACCCCTTGGGTTTTCTACTATTACTTCTACTTGCCCGTTTCCTGCCGAGAAGGTTTCTACTGTGAAGCTGGATGGAGCTCCCACTGCTTGTCCAGTTGGTTCCACTCCTGGACCATACACTCTCACTCTGAAAGCAAAATTCACTGTTATGATTTTGTTTCTCTAAACTTAGATCTCGCTCAGATGGTTTGCTAGTTATAGTCTCTTTTGAAAAGAACTTACTTATTTACATTTGTTCGTGGCCTCAGTGGTGCTTCAGGTTTGATTTTGGCATTGGGGTACTGTGACAGGTATGTCATCATAGACTGTTCGTCTATATTGGGGTTCACGATTTCCTCTGGTCTGATGAGTTGGGGAATATTGAGCCAATCATCAGCGAGCCCCATTGCTTCCGAGGCATTTCGGACACCTTGGTTGGGGTCCCAGTCCTGTGAAAAATTATACAGGATTTAGACAGAAATAATTTATTTTTTGCGGAGAGCACCTCTTCTTGTGACATATTGTCTATGTAGACAAGTGATTATAGTGGTGTTCTGCCGTATCGGCTTCAGAAATCAGAGTATTATGAATGTTTCATAACTTACGGGCCAGTCTGGACATAGACCTGGTGCTACAGCATCCACTAAAGCTCCAACTGCTTTTCCATCGTGCCAGTCTGAAGTGAAATTTTTTATTGGTAGATCTGGAAGTTTTGTTTGGATCCAGTTCATCAGCCTATAAAATAAATTGTTTTAACTACTGTAAAAAGTTCGTGGAAATCTCATCGTGTATTTTTACATATACTATGAATTTTCATCAAGTAACGGCCGGGTCAATAATAAAACAATTATTAATTCAATTATGGTATAATTATACCTTATACCTAATTTATTGTCGTAAATATTTTGGAAACTGCTCCGTTTTTTCTCGATTCATATATGAACTGAATTCGAAATTCCTTACTCAATATTTCATTTGGTCCCATCATCTGACACAGGCACAACAAATACTGCTACGCTTTTTTCGACCTTGTTTCATTGAAGTTGTTGATTTGAATTGAAATTTTGGATTCCTTTAACGGTCACGTATGTATACTACAACATAGAATCAATTATCTTGATATTTTGATCAACCGTTTGGGAGATAGGTATCTGAATTCTGTCAAGGTCTAGTGATGCTTCTTCTTGTAACTCAATAAAAGACCAACCTGCATGATAGCAATTAATGTTCTTTCACGGCCAATTACGTCCAATTCATTTTTATGCGTTTACTCATAACAAACAGTAGCGCGAACAATGTTGTTTTTATCATATTTGCTGTTTTATTGGTGGAACGTGTCAGTTGTTGGATTATGTATTGATTATTTATATTTGCGTGGGTATAAAGTTGGTCATGTGCTGATGCTCATTGCGTTTGTCCATGAATTGAGAATGTGTCAGAGTGTCACTAGTTATAGTCATAATTCTGTGAACAGTGTGAACATTATTGGACATTTAATTAAGGAAAGAAGTAGGTCATTTTTTCTAAATTCTCACTTCCAAAACCAACCGATCGGCTATGTCATGCAGAGGCGGATTAACCAGGAAGCAAAAGAAGCGAGCCTCGAAGCGAGCGCTTCGGGCGCCAAGCTTTGAGGGACGCAAAATCATAGTTCATGAAATAGTAAAAATCTCAAAAATGGTAGCATTTGAAAAAATATCTCCGCAATTCTGAAAAGTTGGAATATAGAATATACGTAGCATGTACGATGTACGACTGCACGAGTACCGAGCCCAGAGCGTTTTTGTTAGGATAAATATAAAACTAGAATATTTAAGGGCACCAAATATGAGAGGAGTTTTTCCAAATTGCAGCGGTGAAAGATCTTTTTCTATGCTGAAAAGAGTTGAAAACTATTTGCGATCCACAATGTCAGAAAAAATGTTAGATTCAAAGGCATTGCTTGCCATTGAAAACGAATTTGCTCATGCAAAAGCAGGAAAGAAATCTTTTTGTTGATAATGTCATATTGACGGCTTGTTTTGTTTCAATTGCACATTCTTTAGTTATGTTATGATTGTTATGCGATAAAGCAAATATTTTAATTTTACGTTTTTTGACATGTAATGGAACAAACATCTATTTAAAAACGTTCGTGTTGAAAAAGACAAATTAGGCCAGGAAGGGGGAGGCGCAACTTTTGGTTCAGCTTGGGGCGCAATATACCCTTGATCCGCCTCTGATGTGATGATATCCTCTAAATAATTTGTGGTCAAGATTTGTTTTTCACATAAAACGTACCTATCTGAATGAAACATTTTTTGAAAAAATTGGTGGAATTGTCTGAGAGACTCGACTATTTGTCAGTTTATGTTTTTATTCAATCAATATAACTGACTTCTGGTATTTTGAGATCCTGAATCGACATAAACATAAACATCGAAGTGAACAAATAAAACGTCGATATTTATAATTTTCATTCATCTATCCAGCTATGATATCCAGTGGAATACTTCCTCAATATATTATTCTGAATACTTTTCCGAGATTATTTTCATACCTATAACCGCATCAGTGATTGTGTTAACGAATAGAGAACAGATATTTATGGTCCATGTCAATCATCACTTTTATAGCTAGAAATAAATCTTTTCAACAAATCGAATGCTTTTATCCTTTTATGTAATGACACAAGAGTGAGGTCATTTCGGTTTGGCATTCGCTATTTACATAGGCGTCCGCAAAAAATCAACAGGGAGTACAACTTTTCTATATCTCACAAGAGTATATTTACCGACATAGGTACGTTAACATACAGGGTTACTGGTAATTCGATATATTCCTTTGAAGATGTAATAGGAGAACTGGTAAGGAGTGAATAGTGAATTGAACCCTAATAAACATCATGCAAAAGTTGATAGTTTTTGAGATTGAAAAATCCAAATATCTCAAACTTTCGCATAATGCATAGTAGGGTTAAATTCACTCCCTACGACCTCGCCAATCACATCTCCAAAGAAATGTATAGAATTACCAATAATCCTGAATTACGTATGTAACTTCTTCACAATAAGCAGCTTTTGAAAATCTTCATTACAAGAAAAACTAGCTAGAAATAATGAACGAAAACCTAAAATTTAAATATGATAAATACCTACCAAAATGAATTCTGAAAAAGAAGAGTTTCACGATATTCCTAAACATAATGTAGAAAGGTCAGTGATAGCATCGCACCTCATAAAATAGGTAAAAAGTAGGTAACTAGCAGATGTTTTGCAGTACCTATCTAGAGATACAAAAAACGACGAGTTTATTTACTTGCGGTATATACAGGTATGGAAAAATCACTGATAATAAAATAAACCGTCTCGCGTACTAATGAGTTAGGAATAATCAGGATGATCACCAACATATTGCAAATTCTCAATTTCACCGTGAGAAAAATGAAGAAACTTCCTTGCAACGAGTGAATAAAAAAGTTTGAAACTTTTAGGATTCGTGACTTGTGACCCATTCCCTATTCTCCATTATCATTTTGTTCGGTTTTCTTACCTTTGCTTTGGTGTGGGTTCCGTGCCACCATTGTTTAAGTCGTCTTCTCCCTCCCACATAGGCAGAGATATTGAGTAGTGTAAAATCAATGTCCATATTAATCCTAATATTAATTTCAGCTTACAATCTACTATGTGACTCGAGTCTGAAACAAACAAAAAAAATTGGTCGCATATATTATCTGGAGCTCTTCTGAATTATCATAAGAAAAACATTTTGTGTGAGCATATTTCATTTGATCTGATGGAGGCTTTTTCTCGGTAGACGGCAACTCTTCTCGTCGTCATTCTGTATCATAATTGTCTGTCTGCAGAAGATGCCTTTGTAGGTATATCCCCCATTGTTTTTATCGAAACCAGTTAGGAAGTATTTAAGCTTTTGGTTTGGTAGTTATGTCATGGATTCTTTCCGACAAGGTTACTACCTATTAACATTTCTGCGAATCGAAATCAGGCTTGTCGCAGTCTATAGTCTATCTACATCTATAGGTATACCATATACCTATAGTAAATGGTAATACCTACCACGAATGGGCTACGTTTACGATGAGAAATAAATTAAGAAGCGAATTATATTCTCCTTTTGTAGTGAAATTGGTATGAATCGAAAAGAGTTTTTTCTCTATATTTTTGTATTTTAGGAAGAGCCTATAAGGTGAGCAAACATAGCAATGGGCGTGTACACCTTAGTAGAACTTTTAACTCAAAATATGTTTATAATGATCCTTTTATACATAAATAATGATTGATGACATAATTCGATCGAAAAATCAACTGGGAATATTTTATTCTTGGGGATGAATATTAGTACCCTCTGAAAACGGACCCTCTTATGACGTAGAAACCTCATCTCGCCAAAGTTAAAAGAAAATACCAAACGCCCGACGGAGACTGAGGCAACTGATATATTAATTCTTTCGACTGTGATCTCGCCCTAGTTCACTCTGTCAGAAATCATGTATCATTCATCTCTGTCTGGAATAGTCTTGTTTCAGTATTAGGGTTTTGACGTCACATCATCGCCTCGTTTTCAGAGGTCCGAAAAAATCGGGGATTTCAATAATTTTTTATAAAACGTAGGAAGCTCATAGCAAGAAACGGTTTGCGGTGGTGAGCTAGTTTGGATGAGCTCTATCGAATTATGAAATAAACATTTTTTGTGATTATAAGCCCATTTGCTACTGCTTCTTGTTTCTCTTTCAAATTTGCGAACAGTGATTTTTTTATTTTACCTGTTTATTTTTTAATCTTATGTAGAAGTCCATACTTTTCTCTAAATGGAGTGTAGTGATGAGAGGGTTAGAAAACACGAAATCATCTTCACAACATTTAATAATCGAAAGACATATTTCGGACCGTCATGTGTCCATCATCAGCCTGAATCCTTACAAACCAAAGGTCATGGGAATGAAAAAAACATTATGAAAAAACTTTCAATACAATCATTGCGCAAATAATCACCGGTTAAGGGTCCTCCATCATCGTTTTTTTTATGTTCTGGTTCCCACGAAAAGGGATCCTATAATGTTCAGAGAACATCGTGAGAACCGAGGGAAATAAGGTAGGAATTGGTGTTCTTCTTAAATTTCTGGAGGTTATATGACTCTGGAAACACCTCCCTTGGCAATGTGTTCCAGAGCCTCGCTGTTCGTTGGATGAACGAGTCTTTGGAAAGAGATGCTCTGCAGGTCTCCAAAGTGACCACGAAGGGGTGCGAAGCCTCAACTCGACGGGTTAATCTCGCGGAGACTGCCAAGGCAGGAACAATTGTTGATATTTCAGAAGAGCATCGTCCATGAAAATATCTATAAAATAGAGCCAGATCACCAACTTTTCTACGGTGTTCCAGAGATGATGATGTAGGTTTGTTTTGACTAATTATTTGGCTCCCGTTTTTTCGGTTTTTTCCAAAAATGGGTTTTGCCATCAAATCTTGATTATGTACGTTCTCATAGGGGCACAGGGCCCCTTTACAATTAACCTGAGCCTTAACCGGTGATTATTTGCACAATGATTTCGTTTAAAGTTTTTTCATAATGTTTTTTTCATTTAGCCGACCTTTGGTTTGTAAGAATTAAGGCTGATGATGGACACATGACTGTCCGAAATATGCTCCCCTAAATAATCTTTCGATTATTGAACGTTGTTGAGATGATTTTGTGTTTTCTAACCCTGTTTATTTTTTCCCAAGGATGACCTCCATTACACAACATCTACTATCGAATTATTATATGAGAAGAAATCCATGATTCGAACGTAACCACAGTGGATAGGAAACAACATTTTTATCACCTTCCTTTTGCGATAAAAAAAAACAAAAAGTTAATAATGGGTTAGCGTAAACTGGAATAGGTAGTGTTTCAATAATTAAATATGTGAACAGATTCGGTACATTTTTAAGAATGACGTGATACAAGCCAATTTGATCGAGTTGAAAACAGCCTTTTCAAACCTTCGCGGATGTGAGTCATATAGTACGAAAACAATGCTTTCAATTAAATCATGAATATGATTCTTTCTATACTTTTTTCGATTTTCGAATGATGATTTTTATAGTTATAAAAGTACAGATCCTGATTTTTTCTTCATTCTTTATCCTTCATGCAATTGCAATTCTGAACATGACCATCAACAATATTTTTGGAATATTTCTTGATCTCTTCAAGTATACGTAAAAAACAACTGGCAAGTGGAGAGTGCTAATTTCAGGTCTGAAAGAATTTTGCATAACTGCATCATGTTGATGCGACCGTAATAAAACTTAACATATGGTAAGCAATCCGATACAAGAGGGGAGTGTATAATCTCTGCCTAGGTATACCTATTCATATAGTGGATGCATGTTGTAGCTACTACAATATTGGTAATAGTCCGGATTCCGGAACATAACGTTGGTTATAACATTACCAAGGCTGTATATGCCATAATTCAGCAAATTGTTCATTCGCTGTAGTATGCATGATATCGATATGGCTAAGAACTGAACTTTTTATGAATCATCTAGAATTTCTCATCGTTTAGGTAGGTACTTGAGATTATCGCAACTACCAATCGACTCACATTTCCCTCATATGATTTTGAAATCGACTCGTATCCGAATATTGACTTAAGTGTTCGGTATTCTCTAGAACATGAGGTCATGTCTTGTAAATAAAGCAGATGAATGCACCTTCATGATTCACTAGTAATATGCATAATCAGTGCCGTAGCGTTACTTTGAATGGTTCTTGAGTACATATTTTCTTCTTCATAGAAGTGTTCCTTATTTGCTGTTTTAGGTTTTATTCAGAATTATTTCACAGCGATTATGTTTCCCTATTTCACACTCATTTACACATTAATTCTATAAAATACAGAACGAATATACAATGTGCAACTGGTTACAATGAGATTAGGGCCTCTGTTTATCTCTTGGAGCGCACGAAAGGAAATTTCTATGATGTTCGTGGAACATCGCGGGTTTCTAGGAAGGAATGGGAAAGGAGGTAGGTGTTGGAATTGTTTTTGAACTGTTGGAGGTTATAAGTTCTTGGGAATACTTCTCATTTAATTCATTTATACAGGGTGTATCTAAATAACACCGAAAAAATTCAAAGAGTGATTCAAAGAGTGATTCTTGCTCCGTTTTTGAGATACAGGATGTTGAAGTTGGAAGTATTAATTGTTTTTATTTATAACCCCCCTGTATAAGCTTCAATGGAAAAATTCAGTGTGGTTGGACACTGAGAAAGTCCCAAAATTTCAAAATGATTCTAATTGGGGTTTTTCTCAATGGAAGTCTTGGAAACACGCCTATATACATTAAAATTTGGAGTCAAATCGAATTTTTATTGTTTCCTCGAAAATTAAGCTAGATACAAAAATTACACAAAGGAGGAAAAATTAATTCAAATGTTCAAATCTAATGGAAATATGAAACTTTTTTCGATGTTATTCACATCGATTTTCATGAATTTTGATACAGGATTGTTGTTGGTAGGTATGTACATAATTATTCTGAAAAATCTCTAATTTTCTAGCAGGTTGCATAAAATCAACCTGACCTGACCTAACCGAGTATTTCTTCGCATTTGGTATGATCTATCTTTTATTCTATTTACGCCATTTAGAACATTACTAATAAGCAACACATAAGGAACCCATTATAGCCTTAAGAAGCTCTCTCTTCAATGGAATTGTTTCAAGTCTCATTACCAAGTTCTTGAAATTGCAGATTGATTTACTACTGCTCAAAGTGGAAAGTATATATCTAGAAGCACTTCTTGTGTTTTCTCGGAATTTCAGGACTGATGATAGTGTTTTGTTTCATCCAAACATAGCGCAAGATTTCCCAAACTGTTTCGATGTTCTTTTTGTGAAAATCAAGGTGAAAGCTATTCTTGACAATGAACAAATGAAAATAAAAAATCACTAATTCGCTAGTTTCAAGTGTTATAACACAGTGATTTCAGCATTCCCACCTTAGGAGATTCATGCATTATTTAGATCTATATTATCCCTCCAATTGCAGTTTTTGAATTATTCAATTTTGATCAGGGATAAGAATCCACGTTATCCACTATATTTTGAACTTCTCATCTACTATGAAAAGTTGAAAAAGAAATTCTAGGGTTTCATAGTTTCACATATAAGTTTTTCATGTATACTACCCAAAACATGCCATTTTGGACCCCCAGATCAAGTCTTGATTTAAAAATGGAAATGTTTTTTTCATATGATACAAAAAAATGAATATAATTTTATTCCATCAAATAAATTTCTGTCCATTCACTTATTAAATGACAGTCATGTGGGTATAGACGATTAAAATCAAAAATTCACCTTTATTGCTATTGTATTATTCATCGTGGATGATAATCACATAATATTATCATCTTCAATCATGGTATAAACAAATTCTGAATATTTTCTTGTCGAGCAATATATTATTTGAATTGTGAATTCTAGAGCGAATTTTTTTCACAGTCGCCTTCAAGAGGTTTTAATTTGCCTATTATGCATTAGATCATGTTGGAACTTAATTTGCTGACAAACACTCTCCCTCAGTCAGTATGAATTATTTCGACATCGACAAAAATATAACTGCGTCACTGTTTTATCTGTCATTTAAATATATAAGCGATAGGTACATTCATTAAATATATGG